TATAATGTCCTGTTTTTGTATATTTGAACTACTAGAAACTGTTTGTTTCTTTGTTTTTCACGTATAATTTAAATACTCGTAAATGTTGGAAAAATTAACATTGACAAATGAGGAAACTTTTCAACGTTGTGTGAGATTTTAAAGAGAAACAATCAAAAAAGCACATCACTTTGACGAATTAAAATAGAATATTTTGTTTGTCACCGTTTATTTTAACAATTGAAAATGAAAACCAATAGTTTGTAAAAGTCCTTTATTCATAAGCTATGAATAATAAACTATAAGTTGTTATAACGCACGGTTTTCCTCATCTACACGAATGGGACTCTCGTTTGCCTTAGACGAATATCTATATTAGATACCCTCTCAATGTCTGTTCTACAGGACATCAACACAACACAGATCAAGAACACGTGACTAGCCTGACTAAAACGTAAATGTATTTCCACATAAGAAAAATGACAACAATCACAATAATAATAAGGGTAGAATATATATAGCTCATCTAACACTTGTCAGATTATCTACTAGTCTGACTAAGTAAACACCCAGCCATTATCTTTCTCCTCCAGACATCAAAGTACTATAGATTATTTTTTTTATCAGTAATTGTTTAACTGTTGTAATAAACAAATAATTTGTTAATGTTTTGTAACAAATTAAGTATACTTATATACTGTGTAGGTTTATTAGTGTGCGACTATGTACCATTAATTACGGTCAAAATTCATTTAAGTAGATCCACCTCTAACACACTAAACAAATTCTCGCTTTTCGTTAAAACACATATGAAGTTGAAATGTCCAGTATTTATATCTAAGTTGAATACTGATATTGGGTTCCGTAAGCATGGCTCAATCCATTGTGTCGATTAGCAAACGTCATTCAATATATATATATATATATATATATATATATATATATATATATATATATATATATATATATATATAAAGAATATAGCAGCAAATTAGATGGTAGTTGGAAGTAGTCAACAAGAAACCCTGGACCCGGAGTTCGTGCTACTTGACACTCGTCAGCAAGGTGTATCTGTAATCTTGAGGGAACTGGTGCTCCCTGACGGGTTCGATCCCGTTTCACCCAGCCTCACAGTCAGAGACGTTACCACTGAGCTATCCGAGCCGCGACCGACCTCCTGTAGGACTGCGATGTAATCACAATTGATTGATCACTGGGTGGCGATAGATCTGCAATAATAAAGACTAGACACTCATGACACTGATCGCCACCCAGTGATCAATCAATTGTGATAACAGCAGATGCAGTCAGCTAGTTTTTAAAAATTTAACATTATCAAAACCTGTAACACTGTTGATCTTGTAATAACAAATTGGCTAACAAAATAAAGGAAAATCAAGTCAGCCTATAATACAACTGGTTGATTTCTGAATTTAATAATCCATTTCATTTACCCCAAAAAATATTCATCAATATGGATTCCTTATTATGACTATTGAATATCATATGATTTACAAAAACATACATACAGTTTGGCATTTTAATTTAATATTTATTATAGTAAATATCAAGATTATATTTTGTCGCCTGAAGCTTTTATTTTCTGTTGCAAAAATCAAATGTTAATTTCAAGTTTCTTAGTTCCCTTTTATCAATAATCGAAAGGGTTGATTTTGTTTTTTTTTCTGTCTGATAAGATTTAATGATCTTGATCCTCTTTTCTTTTTCTTTATCATGTGCTTGGTTCTTTCTGTTTTATAGCACAAAAATAATACTTTTTACGTGTATAGTACAAATTATGATTACTTGATTAGACATTATCTGTCGCATTGTTTTTTGTTAGCTTCAGAGAAGTTGTAAACATAACTAAAATATATTTAAATGAGTTCGTTAGTTATTTATCTACTGAAAAAAGACAAGAACAAAGTCAAGTTGACTAAGATCATCCTATTTAACCGTATATCCAGATGCATTATTTAGATGTTTTAAAAAAACTATGTTTTTCGTTTATTTTTTCGTAAACATATTCCCTCACTACTCATGATACTTATATAACTTTATAGATCGGTGATTTTCACTACTACACGTTGTTATAAGTTATTACGTCATATATTTTCAACGCAGTCCATATTTTAGGAGTAAACGACAAATTTGTAATAATTTTTTTAACATAGATATCATCTAAAAAAGTATTGCTGTTCTAGATAGGAAATCCACACAAACACAAAGTTGTCATTGCTCTGAACCAAATCAAACCCTTGAATTTCAATTTATCACACAATATTGTTGAACAATTTGTCTAGAATTCTACAGTCCGTTTGCTCACTGTCAGACCATTTGTAAAATAATTAGAGGACAATCTCTTGTCATAAGGAATAAAGCTTTTATTTCGGAAAAAGATGAGGTCTGATAATTCTTACGGCCCAACGGGATTATACAAAGTAAGAAGTGAAGACACTTTGATAATCTGTAAATAAGGAGATCGTGTAAACTATTATACTGATTAAAAATAGAAAAATATGCGTTCTCATATAGCTTATATATGTTGTGAAATATCCAACATGACCAAAACTAATTAATATCATGTATGATTTGATGCCACTAATTATTATGTCATCAGTAGTGATCATTATAATGTTGTTTACAATTACTAAACATAATTTTCCATTGCCAATGATAGATCATCAACATAAATAATTTTAATATAATGAATGAAGTCGTAGCAAAAAACTTAATGAATATAGAAGCTATTTACAATTATTTGTATTACGTCAATGAGAAGTCTTATTGGTTCAGCTATAAGTTAAGATTAAAACTGAACATTGTTTACTGGACATGAAATGGTGCAAAATATGTATTTAAAGTCATTTCGTTTCTCAATTGTTCGAATAACTAAATCAGATTGTAATTAAAAATGGATATTCAACTAAAATTTAAAATTTACACAAATCTCTTAAAGTGATTAAAATATAAGAGACTTAGAGTACTTACATTGTTCGAACACAAATTTTTAAAAGTTCAATCATGATTAAGTTTCCTTTAAACACTAGATCTCAGAGATTGTTTTTACACAATTTATTTATTCATCTCAACAGATAATACTATCAAGTATTAGATAATCAAACTAAAATCATGTGATTGTCAGTATAGGGTTGTGGAGATCACTAAGTTACTGATTGAGATCTTGAACCAATTGATGTTAGACCATAATGGGAGACCTGGAAGCACTAGACGGCCGTTTCGTCTTATAATGGGACTCCTCAGCATTGCGCGATATTCCCTGTCGGCCGAGACAGATATCTACCTCAGTAAAATGGAAGATGGTCACGCAATTTCGTGGATTGGTTGAGGTTAGACATTACCACACTTAAACGCCGGCTCGGTGGTCAAGTAAGTTAAGCTTTCTCACGCGAGACTGAAGGCCCTGGGTTCGAATCCCGCGAGCGGGATCGTAGATGCGCACTGCTTAGGAGTCCCATAATAGGACGGAATGGTCGTCTTGTGCTTCTAGGTTTGCAATGGTGGTCTAAAATCAGTCGGTTCAAGATCTCAATCAATAAAATCATGTGAAATTGAATGATATCTTTGAAATTTATATTAAGGATCAATTCCTAGATTAATAGTTTCAGTATTTGAGAATATCTGTTGTGGCAAATATTATTATTATTGGCCTCATTCAATATTTTATTTCTGGTACAATAAAGAATTCTTAGCATTAAATATTTCAACAAGTTTTCTTTTCTTATTTCCTGATCGATCCTTGAGATAAATATTGAGTGGTCGCCAGTTAGAATTTAGCAGTTCCGGAATCGACTTTTGAATAATATACATTTTTTTCGATGCATATCGCCAGTAACCACGATGACTCTGATTGGATTCTTTTGTAACTTGTACAGCGAGATGTCGTAAACTTGTCACAAACGCTCCTAAATAGGTTATGCGACTAATATACATAATGATGTGTTAAAACAAACAAGAAAACAGGTAACTTGTTGAAATATCCAGATAGCAGGAATAGGTAGCCCAGAAATTCAAACAGGTCACCTACACACAACCCTATGGTAATATTCCAAATGTTAATAGCATAGTTTTCTTTATTTCTGAATTTAGATTTGTATTATGTTTATTGTTTGGTGAATTCATCTGTTTCGAGTTGATAATGATTATCTGATCAGATTACCAGTATAACATGGATATTGTTCCATTCTAATTTAGTATTCGTTCCAAACAGTCATCAGTTTCAGAAAATTTTAAATCAAAAAGGACTGACAAAAATGTCCCATTTTATTTTAAGACCCTTCACCAGGACTGGTTCACGAGTTTAGGCATTATTCTTTTGAACTTATTAATTGTTGATAAATATACACGAACTGATAAGAAATGATAGATATTTATTGAGCTATTTATCTTTCGTCGTCACATGACGGCCAGCCATCTAGTATACACCATAAGATCACTAAACTGAATACTACAAGTTCACCTGATGAAACTTTCAAAAAATTGTTGGCTTCAAAATCACAATTCGTTGAAAACTTGAAAGTAAATATAATGTTTCACCGAGAGTTTTAATGTCTACTGATGATTTGTAGAATTGATCCAATTATTGTCTATTGGTATATAACCTCATTCGTCCCGATGCGACTCTATCATTTACGGTTATACAACACAACACTTACTTGATTCATACTTTAAACTAACGTATCCAGTAATTCCTACTGTCCTTCAGTAGACACAGTAAAATACCATTTGAGCGTTTTGAATTTAAATACATACACGTTGGAATCTATCCTCATTTGAAACGGTTTTTGTAACCGAGAATGAATATAAATTCAAAACAGGCTGTCTTATTTAGTAATACCACTCCTACTGAAAATTTTGCAAATTTGAAATTAAGTTATGATAACAAATAACTCACAGAGTATCCAAGTACTTTACTTTTTGTCGTTCTTATAAGTTTATTTTATATGGGGCACATTATTTATATATATTTGCTTTTCCCAATTCAATTTTGGTTTAATTAGCTTGATGATTCACAATTAGCTATTCGATTAGAACCTTTAACATGGCATGTTGCAAGAGCATTGGTTGATTTTATGCATGCGTATAAATGGAATCTTGTTATTATGGTTTACAATACACAAGTACCTGGATCAGATGTATTAGTTGAGGAATTTAGAAAACTCCAAGTTGAACGAAGTGCACAAGATCATCCAAATTACTTCGAGTAAGTAACTTATCGTAATTATAAATTTATTGTCTTTGATTTATTTTATTCCATCATTGTTTTCAATAGTAAGTTGGCGTTTTACTAAATTTCTGACTAATAGTAGGACTATAATGAATCATGTATTTTGAAAACATAAATGAGACTGACATCAATCGAATAAAACAAATACAAAGCGATTGTTGATTCTAGGTTTCACGATACTTGTTATTTTTCATGTTAACTATATACCAGTATCCAATATCTAATAAAAGAAAGTCATGGATAATCAGCTCGACGTTTAGATAATGCATCGGAACACACAGCATAGTATAATTCCCCATTACCATGTAGGTGTTAAACAATATGATACATTTCAACTTTGAATTTTAAATGGAGAAAAAATCAAGTAACAAAATGTTGAAAGTTAGTTTTAGTCACAAATTTATAAGTTACAAAACCATTTAAAACAAGAAAATCCAGAAGAGTTGTTACATTTGTATGTAAATCAGCCCATAACTGTCGAATTAAGAACTTCAATTATTGTGACAAACATTATACGTTTAGATCACTAACTTAACAATCAATGGTTAACAATTCAGATTGTATACAAGTGATGCAATACTGTCGACTATATCTTTCTCGGTCAAAACATTTATGATTCAACTAGTTTCTAATAAGTCCGTTGTGAAAGTTAACTACATTATGTTAACATATGTATTCTTAACTCTGATCTATAGTTATACCAATATCTCATCATTACCTTTGTTGTTATAACTTTATGCCAATTTGTTTCGCATTTTTCTTTTCCAATTTGATTACTAGTCATTTCATATTCAGATCTCCGAGCTACTCTTTTTATTTTATGATTATTTTATTCCTTAACATAGAACTTTTGGATGTTTAAATCGCCTTTTTGTACACTCGTTTTATTTTGATTATTAACAGCATCTAAACGTTCGTAAAATGAATTTATTCCTTACTAAAGATTTATTCGATACGTTATTCCGATGATTTAATAGGAAGATCCTTCGAGAAAATTCCGGAAACAATGACAAATTATTCTTGTCCTATATTCTTACTGAATTCAAATGAGTCGAAAAAAACTCGTTAAAAATTTCAGCATACTATAAATAGATTGTCTAGTTTTCATTCGAACTTTTTCAGTTTTCAACTTTAAATTCATTTATTCTTTTCAGTGATATTCTGAGTGACCTCTCAAACTCCCAATTCAGTATTGTTAAAACATATCTGTAGTTATCATTAAATAAAATAAGAATATGTTTAGGTGTGTATTCAGTCGCTAATATGAATACCTAGCTAGATTACTTATTTTGATTCGAATTTATTTCCTTCATTTATATTACAGATTTGAAATAAATTATCAATTTCCTTTTGAAGGATTGACTTCTATTGAATTTACAGAATGTATAGATCAAATGTTAAGGGAGATTCGACCATGTTTAATACCATTAATTAATATTTTAGAAAGCATATGGCGCGCCGATGCAAGAGTTATTATATTTAATGGGAATTTGTAAGTTGATTTTATTGATTAGAGCTTGTTATATAATCAACTTAACAATTAACTTTTACTTTCAATAAAGCGTTAAATGCAGAGAAAATAAGGTTTTGATGTATGTTCAACTCAGTGTAATCAGTAGATATATCATGGGACTAGTGTAAACTGTATACGTTATGATAGTTTATAATGTGAAATGATTTCGAAGATAAATTATAATTCATAAGAATGTAAATACGTAATGCATTCGATTTCCGCCTTTATGGTATAGTAATAATGCAAGATATCAAAACTATTTTGTATGATTCACTCGACCTGTGAATAAGTGACTTTCTGACACTAAGTTGAGGAACTTTAAAATAACGTTTTTTTCTTAAAACACCCCGTAACTGGCTTGTATTTGACGAGTCCCAGACAGTATGAAATGCGAGTACTACATTCCAATTTTAGTTGGTTTCCGGAGAACTATATTTACATGAAATATCAACGAATACATTCACAATATACAAATGCCGTTAGATAGTGATGAAATTTAGTCTTTAATATCATCAGTTGGATAATAAAAAGCTTTGAGAAGTACGTGGTATTTACAAGCGCTCATCTTGCTTTTCTATTTCTGGTGCTTAATTTGAAAATGTTAAATTCCTAAATTGTTGGGTTTCACTGTTGAACAAAAATGACTTCAGGATAAAAGCAACAATGAAATCTCTAACTATTGCAAACATACTTCACTCACGGATGCCAGGAACTTCAACAATTCACTTTACTATTTCTTCCGGGTAAGATGTAGCAGTTTTGCAATGTAGGTTTATTACTTAAAGATTTATCCTTGAAATGTATAGAACATTTTGTTGTATGAAATCAATCAAGTCAGAGTACTTTGTTATCAGCTTATGTAAATCTGTACACATGTAAGTTGAAACTATTCGCAACAGAATCTTACATCATTCAATGTTGAGTTGAAGCCATACAATTATACCATTGACAGTTTTTCAATTAGCTAATTAGTTGGGAGCTGAAGAATTTTATAGGTGTGCCCTTTGAGGTGATCAAGAAGTCGGTAATATTAATTTTTCATCCATCAGTGACATCAGTTTTAATCATATTATTTAAAAGATAATCAGAAGAGATTTATATACGGAAGTATAGATGACTGTCTTATTAATAATATTTATAGAATCGATAGTAGTTTTCGTATAATTCTATGTAACTTGATGATATGTTTTTATATAATGAAATGTGATAGATAAATATGAGTATATGGGTCATATTAGTCTTAACAGTTGTAATTCAATACAGAATATATATATATATATATATATATATATATATATATATATATATATATATATATATATATATATATATATATATATATATATATATATATATATATATATATATATAATTGTGCGATATAAACACTATGTTACTGTCAAAATTAATTTTATTTTCATCACTTATTTAAAATCCACTCCCATTTATGTAATTTGATTGCAACCAAATGAAGACGACTCTTGTTAAGAAGAAATTCCTTTCTATTGATAAATGTATTTTCATGGTTCTAAATTCATAAGTAAACAATTAAATGACCTAATGATAATTTCTATGACAACTTTTTTGGAATGACAATTGTTCCAAATCAACAGCAAGCACTTATTCCATTAGGTTGTAAGTATTTCCTTGATTATAACTTAGACCAGTATGAAGACTAAATCTAGGGTTTTCTGTCACATTCATCAAATCACCTAAAGTAATGTAGTAAATATTTAACGAGAATTATGTTGAACAACTTTATGTAACTTCCATCAATTAAGCCTATCGGTGCAATACAATACTTTTTAACCACTCAAGAAACATCTGTAGCAGGAAACTATATACTACTGTATCTTTTTAGTTTATTTTTTGTCTAAAAAATAATGAAGAACAGTTTCAGAACTATAAGACTTTCTGAATTCTTTTATTCTTTTGAATAAATATAGTGAAAATTATTGGCAGTATAAATGTTTAGAAAAAAAAGTAGTATTTTTTAAGGAAAAATACTGCACAGCTGTGTAAATACAAGAAGTTTAGTTTTCTAGATTTTGTTATCAATTCGTCAGTTATTCACCATATGTTACACTGTTGTTTGGAGCAAACGTGTATTCTCAAATCATCAGAAAATGTTTTCATTTGATGATGTATAACTCATTAAAATTAGTCTAGAAGCCCCATAAAACAGGAATATTTTCAAAGTCCAAAATCTGGACTATCTTCCTATAAACAGCTCATTCATTTGTCATAGAAAATATAATTTACAACAAGAAAAATATGTTATTATTCTTGTGTGTAACCGGTACATTTTTGTATTTTTAACTACATTGTAATATGTAAAGGCTAGGGTCCTTTCGATTTATTTTTTGAAAATTCGGAAGTCACTGGAACACTATTTTTATCGAGAGTCGTTTGTAAATGACATAAAACATTTATGCCTTGATAATTTTGTAATGAAATTAAACATATTTGCTCTTAGTTCTAGTGATTTTTGACCAATTAATTAAGTGAATATTACTGACAGATGCTGTTATTACATGTTTTGATAAGCATTCTCGTTATTTGAAATGTTGCGTAGAAGTCGAAAGCTTCAATCTTAACATATTGACGTTGGTTTCCCAAGTTCCCAAGAACTTTCCATTGAAATCAGTAATATAATAAGGAAACAGATACGATATGTTAATACTAAAATGATCTTTCCATATACGATAGCATTATATAAAATTAATTCTTGATCTTCCGTATTTAGAATGGAAATCTTTTGTACATTGTTATTGCTCCTCTTTGAACGAGTTTTGGGATATTTACTATGAATTTGAAATATATATATATATATATATATATATATATATATATATATATCACACTTACAACATTCTGAGTACATCCTTATCCATATTCTAAAGAATTTCACTAAGTATCCACAATACTGAGAACCCTTCGGGAGATATTGACTTTCACTTGTCTTTAATGTTGTGGCTACTACTCAGTATGAGTTTTAAACTTTTATAATCAGTAAACTTTAGTTAAAGCTTCTAATGTATCATATAGTTACGTTAGTCTTTAAAATTTTTCTACGATTCACTTTGCAACACATGTTAGTGATAATCGATTTGGCCACTTAATCTTGGAATCCAAAATAGAACTGCAAGCCTAACTGATCATAATTCCGGATAGTTTAATATCATCTGTAAGCAATCATGTATATTATTCATTTGAGGTAACGGTAAATAGAGCCTAAAGTTATCCTTTGAAATATTCCACCTTTCACAGCGTTACACGAGAACAGAGTACCTTCACTCGTTGTCAACGTTCATTGTGATACATTTGGTTCATTAATCGAATTCGTCTTTGATTCCTAAAGTTTACTATTTCACTCCCAGATGAAATATCTTATCGAGGGCTTTAGTGATATCACCAAACATTACATACACCTATGTATTTCAGGCTCTAGTCACAACCCAATATTTTATTACAATGAGGTTAGTTAAACACAAATAATCTGCTTTAAAAACATGTAGTTCGTAGATCCTTGATTTACAACACTAGATGTGTATGTATCTGACAGTATGAATACTAGTCACCAAATAATTAGTTACTTAAAAATATTTACACTACACCTATGCATATATTTTTACTAATTTCACTGATGCTTTCGATGTAAAGATAATAATTTATTTGCACTTTAGCTTTGATCTAAATACACTGCTTTATATAGCAGATAGTTTGAATGGTACAAAACATGAACATTTGAAAGCGTTATTTGGTGAAGACTATGTCTGGATTTATACACCGTCAACAATGAGTTCCCTTACGGTAGCTGATAATCAAGACAAAGTATCATCTGATAATAACGTTCTTGCAGAATCAACAATGTTTAAAAAAATTCCCGGGATGTTTGGTAAGTGTCTTCTGTTACTTCGTTCATGGATTAAAAACTTATTGATATATTTTGGATGATAATAGACCTTTATAGTCAATTATCCGAAGCTGCGAATGTGAACTTGTTGATTATAACCAAAAATGATGTATTCTATCATTGTCAGAACAGTATGTAGGCACTTTCGAGTAGTAAAAAAGCAAGAATTAGACGACAGTAGACCTCCATAAACCCTATACATTCACGAAAATATTCAAGATCGGTATAAAGAACTACCTCAAACAAAGTTTCTCACAACTATTTGACTTTTTCTCGAATGATTATTATCAAAAAATCCTACGTAAATAATTTGTTTTTGTGTTAGAGTGCAAAATTCTGAAAGTTAAAACTACGAAACTAATCAAATACCCATTCTGACCAGCTTTATTCTTGATAGAGGTTTCATTTATATTTACCCCCTGACTACCCAGAAATCCTTGATTGTTTGAAACCGTTAAAGATTTGTTTCATTTTCGCGTAGATATAATGAGACTGTGATCCTAATTTCACATATTTTTATTGCTATTCAGAAACAATTTTCAAGTTGTGATTAGTTATGTTTTGGACATAAATGTTTGTGTTAAGACTAACATTGATGCTTCTGTTGGATGGCGTCGAACTCGAGGCTAGGATGCTTAATGTAAATGAAAACAAAGTCGCCCGAACATTTCAGTTAATACTTGGTGTTTTCGTCTTCGTTTCTATGCAACTAATAAGGTCAATACTACTGTTTCGATGGGTGCTAAATCTCTGGATGTGATTCATGAAATCATCACAACGTATGGATGGAAGCCTTGAATGGTGAATAATTAATGATCACAGTGGTGCAGATATGCTCATTTTTAATGTGTCCTCAAATTTCGAACATGGTATAACTTCATATTTTTTTGACCCAAGATTTTATTCGTTTCATTTTTATTTAGTTTTACAATAACGCTGGTTTAGGTGTTTCAATTTCTTTGCTTTTCGTTTCGCTAATTTTCTTTAATTGATTTGATCTAACGTGCTGTGACTTGGATTGACATAATTCTACAAAGTTGAACTTTATATTGATATTGAAATGAATGTTTACAATAAAACCTATGGTATCTACTTATTGAGAGAATCGACAAAAAGCCTTGTATTTACCGCTTTCAACGTTAAGAGACGTCTTTTCGATCATGCCTAGCTATAACCACCTTAAAATTAGCTTTCATTGTAAAGGTTACATACTGGTAAATTTCTATAAACATTCACTTTATATAAGCATCGTTTATGACTTTCTTATCAAAATCATGTTTTCTTAGCTATTTATGAAACTGTCAGATACTTCTAGGTAATCGACATGTAAACGTGAACTTAGTTTTCAAGTTGGTTGATATACACCAACACAACTTATCTGAAACCTCGAAGGAGCTGAGATAAAGTAAACTATCGTAATTTTAGGTTATTTGACTTAATAACTACATCACAAGCTCTCTTGACAAAATTCAATTAGCACTGCAGATTAAACAATATGAGATTAATTACGGCTTAATGGTGAATTCCTGTGATGGATAAAAAAACACTGAATCAAGTACAGCTGCAGTCTAACATTATCCAATTATTTAACTAATAGTGGGAACGGGGAGAATAAATAATAAAGGAAACTTTATGTGGCATACATCTGCTGTAACATATCACCGTATAGTATACTACATATTTGTTCCATTTAGTTTGGTGACAGCCGAAATTAATTTAAAGCCCCAAAAATAGTCTGTCATCAATATTTTCACTGTTAATTGAAATTTGCATATTTTGATGAATATACTACTTTGTAAAATCATTTAATGAATTTATTCTTTCTTGTCTTTTTTCAAAAAAAAGGTTTAATTTGTTTAAATGATCATTCCAGTCGTAGAAGAAGTGCTGAAATAGCACGAGAAGTTTGGCAAAAATCAATGATTGAATTAATTTATCAGTTGACTCAAATCTATCCACCAGACAAATCAATACAAATCGATACGCCGAATAGAGATACATTAATTTATTTCAAACAGATTTTAGAGAAGCTTAGACCTGTTAAATTATGTCAATTTTCCGACCATTTAAGTTGGCAATGGGGAAGAAGAATGTATGAGTAAGTGAACTTTGTATTGGTAATATTCATCATAATAGTGTCTTATGATGTACAAATACAGTCTTCAGTATTTAGGCAATAAATGTTACTTCAACTAAATTGCCTACTTTATTTCTAAACTTCATTTTTATTTAGTATGAGTCTGATAAAACATATTTTTTGCAGCATCTTTGAGGAAATCTTAAACAAGCATATTCCTAATAGAATTAAAACGTACTTACAAATTGATTAAGTGTGAAAATAATCACTGTTGATATTTTGTTTTAGAATTTCTCGATTTATGGTGATGATTGTCCCATGTACACTGAATCTATGATAAAACATTATTACTGGAAATAATTAATTTCATATCAGTGAACCAAAATGTAGCGTTATAACATAAAACATTTGTAAAAAATAGAGATAAGAAATGCCCTGGAAAAATACCCGTTTTCTGGATTATATTGTTTCAGTAATACAAACTAGAAAGTGGCATTTGGATAGTTGACTTCGGTTTGATACTGTAGATTATTCTCAACTATATATTGAGTTGAAACGAAGCAGATGAATATATAAAGCAAACTTATCGACATACAATAGAAATTTTAAACATATTTCCTGATACATTATAACTATCTTCGATTCGGCTCATTTGAAAAAGTTTGTGTATGGAGGTTAAGTTTATCCTAACTAATAACCGATTCATTTAATAACTGATTAATTTAATTAGATAAATGAAGATATTAAGACTGCATAGTAGTCTATAATGTTGAATAAATCTATTTAAGATCTAGGTTTCTTTGATAGGCAAGCGAATTTACTCGACGTGGATGTAGCGACGATCAACGTGACTAGGTTTATTATCATCATGGTCATTAGTACAAAGGTATGAGCCACAAGTAGATTGAATTTGATAACTTGTCATGGGAAACTTGGAGTTTTCATTAAAAGGTTAGTGAAATTTAAACTTTTCATATCGACAATTAATTATTCTTATATAGATGTAAGTCATTCTCAGAATTTAAAGATAGAAAACCAAAAATCTAATCACATCACTAATCTATTGTAACAAGTTCCTTTGCATACACATTTGACAATGTCGAAATCAAAAATTTCACTTTCATTTTACTTCAAAAAGACACATTTTATCTGCCACAAATAAAATGATGACTTTGGTTATTTATTGTAACTCATTGAAGCATAATCTATTGAGTGATCATTTTATGATATTCGTAAGTTTACAAACATTTACAAATCGCCTAAGTAGAGAAGTAATTACAGGTTGAATATTTTCTTTACATAAGTTACGCAGTATAAATTTCATGATTCCAACGAATTCACTCAATTTACTTACAGTAAACTTTTTTTGTGAACACGGTACATGTTGTTAAAGGGATATTTTTGGCGATTCAAAGGCAATGAGATGTCGTGCTTGTTGTGTTTGTTTGCCTGATTATATATAGTAATTGTACAGAAATCATATAACTGTTCAAAAGATAAAAACAACTGTACTAGATGAAAAGGAAAGATTTATTCTTTACGAAGAAACTTTCCATTAAGTTTTACAACTGATATAGAACATGTAGTAAAAACAAAGTACAAACAAACTGTTAGATAGGTAGACCAAGTATTTGTATTTTCCTATTATGTGTGCTTAATATTCATTTTATAACAGTAGAAGAAATCGAAACAACGAAAGTACATGCACACACACACACACAATTTGTTCAATCATTTACTGAGGTATGAACATGCTTTCTATTTGTTACGCTATAATTTATGATTATCAAGTATCAACTGATTCTGCATTAAAAACGTTCATAGACATATATTACCGAGAAAATTATATAGAATTATTTTTCAATTTATGTGTAATGACAAAATGTAAGATTTCTGAGTCAAATGTAATAACTCTTACTGGTATTATATGCAAAAGGATAAATTACACTAATGTACTTGGTATAATTCAATCATATAGTCTTCATAAGTACAACTATAGAGTTTAATGAAGTATAAGTACACTTTATATATATTATTGAGGCTAACGTCCTCTATATCTGACTCCAATAAATAGTATCCCGTTAACCTAGTATTTAATGCAAGCTAAATCTCCTGGTAGAATTATGGATTTTACGCGAGATTATTCAAAAGCCTGAACACCAGTTGTAGAGATAATTTATTGTTAATGATTAATAAAAATCAGCAAGCGCACAGCGAACAAGCACACGATGAAACAAAGTGTGCGTGTGTGTGTGTGTGTTAAAAATCCATATATATATTTTTGAGAGTTAATCGGGTGTGGATAAACTATCGATTATCGGTACATTGCAACTAATGGGAGGAGAGCTTAAGGGTTAATGTACAGACATGCATTCGATCATACACACAGAAATTAACATGATGAATTAAGTGTCTGAGTTACAATGAGTAGACAAATGATACAGTGGTCAAATGGGCTTGCCACAATATATATATATATATATATATATATATATAGAGAGAGAGAGAGAGAGAGATTGAGAACCGCTAGATATCAATTAATATGTAGTCCCACAGTAGGATACAACCTTGAACTTTAAATAATCTGGGTTAAATACTGTTATCATACGAAATATTTCTTAAAAGTTTAGATTTATTATTGTTATAATCTTGATTATTATAACTTTTAAGTGATAATATTTTAAGGTTTGAAAACCATTTAATCTTGTGAAATAAATTACATTTCATACAAAGCATTATGTAACCTAAACCCCAAGTTGTAAATGCTAAACAGAATATGTTGTCTAAAGTTTTTATGATTGATGTCACAACATTTCGATACGCTTAGCTCTCAGTTTGAAATATCATCAGTCAGCATTGGGTCTAGTTTTAGTCAGGAATCGTTATCATGGTATAAGCGATTTTGTTCATTAATGTGAAATAACAATAAGTACCGTGCTATTAAATAAGTTATTACTGGTATATAAATAATACCAGCGTTTTACAGTAAACAGAATCATTTAATGACTAGGTCAATCGTATATGCCATCAGATGTTGGTACTACTGTGCACTCGTGAAACTCTGTAGGTAAACTTTACAGATATTTCTTTTTTGGACTATGTCAATTCACCTAGTATTAGTGTTTTGCTTCGTCCGTTAGTATAACATAACTTAAGAGGTCTAGAAACGGAAGGTACTTGATTATGAAATCGAAAAAGTATCTATTGTAAGTAACGAAAAAATCAACCTCCATGTTGTTTGCAAACTCTGCTTCGAGGTGAAATAATTATTTCTATTGTATAAGTGGGCAAAAGTTTGTTCATATAAGCATATTTTAACCTTGAAGCCATAATTAAACAAAAACGTATAGCTTTAATAATTTCATTACCTGATATCACTGTACTCAATGTAAACTATTATTGAAGTTTCAGAACATGATAAAACTGTTATTTGATGCAAATTCATGGTTGAATAAATTAACTTACAAACAGCGCGGAACGACTCTATGAATTATTGATTTTCTTTCACATATATAAAAGTTAGTTATATCAGTAAATCCTTTTGAAAATTCCCCTTTTCATTCAACGTCAAGTAACTGTATAAATAATAAAAAGTAAAGTCAAACTATTTCATTTCTTTCTTTTACCTGAAATATATTTTGTCATTTTGATTGAGGAAAGTTTCAGTAGCCAAGAGAAAAGACAAACAGTAACAGTTTATTAATGAATTTGTTTCCTACATTTTTCTTCTGGTGATAATCAATAAATATTTTGACAAGAATTAAAGATTACTGCCACTTTTGAAATTGACTATTTTCGTGATCGTATTTTTTTGTTAGTCAACAGATCTAAAATAATTGACTGCTATTCCTAAATTGGAGATATGTATTAGAAATAACAACGTATCACATTCAACTTCATTGTACAAGTAAACATAGTTCTATTTTTTTAAAGAGCGTGTTTCTACATAGGAAAATTGTGTAACTAACTGATGATTAATTCTAAATATTGTTCAATGTGTCTGATTAAATATTGATGAATTCTGTGTTGATAAGTTAATTTATCTCACCGATATTTCGCTTGATTGTTTATTGTATCTTTGTCTTGTTTTTCTTTTACAGCATTATGCATACAATTGTTGTAAATGTAGATAATGAACCGATAAGTTTTTTACCGAATGGTGGATTAAATGTTTCCAAATTATTTATTTATAATTCACGAATTATTGACGGTCGAATGAAATGGTATAAGGTAAAGTATAACCTTTTATAATTGTTCTACTAATTCTGTTTGCAAATGAATGATGATTGAAGGGTTGTTGTTTTGATTATTATTCATTTCAAACTTGTGTTTCTATAAATAGAAATTTCGACGTTATCTTCGGTGTGGCTTTGATTATCAAAATTACAAGGATAAGAATCAATTAATTTTCATTCCACTTGATAAAGAAAAAATCACTTAGGAGCTAGTATATTTTTCTCACGATATTACTTATTCTTGTTACTATGCATAGAATTCAAAGACATGTTGGAAGTTCAGATGTATTTTAGAATAACTACAGATGTATGTGGTCTTTCTGTATTACTTATACTATATGATAAATCATTTAGAATAATGTCATGTCTAAGCATGTAAACAATGTACAAATGTCTTAAATTTTAATCATTCATAAAATGTAGAAGTTTTAGACAATTTCTCTCGTAATAGTTTGATAAGATTTGAAGGAGAGTGAAAGATGAAAACTTTGTCACTCACACCTGAAATGAATTCAGTTTGAACCTGATAACGTTCTTTTTGGAGATCGTCTAGCAAAACAGCACAGTTTTTAATATTTCAACTGTGCTATTTCGCTTAGAAAATGCATTCTAATGCGTTTTACATTTTTCCCACCACTTCAGCATGCTCTAAAAAAGGGTAAAGCATGTCAAAATGATAACTTCATATTGTTAGTTGTTTTTATTTTCTATCAGGAAACTACTCCTCAATATCTTTTTGTTTGTTTAGTACAGAAGGTACAAACATCATTAAGGTTTATTTGTTATCAGTAAATCGGAAATATATTGCAACTAATTATTAATGGATGTTTAGTAAATACTAATCGAATAAATGATTTTACGAATGAAATTTATTACATATTCAGTATCTTATACTAACACGTATTTGTCGATTTCTGCTATTTTAATCGCTGACGCTGTTATATCACTTCATTTGGATTCATTGTAATTGTCATTAGATATTTAAACACCGTTCATAGAGGACAATTTTAAAGTGATATGAAAATAGTTGCTTTTTGATTTTAAAGACACACCATCGAAAATGACAAAAAACTATCAAGGTATTTGCCTCTAGTTTAAAAATAGACACAATTATTGAGTCTTTGGATTTACTTCTGCCATTCTGTAATCAGTAACTTAAAATTTCCATATTATTTCATTATGAGAAGTAAGGTATGGTTTAACTCGTTCCTACATCAAAGCGACTACGTTATTCTCTGAGATAAAACATATTCCTTAATGTTAAGAAACTATTCAGAATGTATATTGCATTTTTTATTAAATCAAGTAACTTTTAGGGCAAAAAGAATAAACAGAACCGTATTATACTAACCAATCTCAAACTTATGGACTTTAGTAATACTTCAGTAAAAAAAGAAAATATTTTATCGGCTGCCTTGAGGAATATAGAATCGAGTGTATTTACTTTTTACTAAATGCGTTCTAAAAAACTTGGCAGTGTCAAAAACTACCATAGAATGAATACAGAGACACGATTAACAAACACCTTATTCTTAATAGACTAATAATCACTTACGAACAAAAACACAAAAGACAAAAATAGACTTAGTGAAAATAATTTCAATACTAAACTACTAGTGTCAAGTGTAGCATTTTATATGTGATTTGATGCATGAAGTCTCACAGAAACAAAGATAATAAACTAACAGCCAACTGAGAAATGCACACGTATACAAAAGCATAGTCCTATTAATTTGGATTTTCTTCTCCTGATAGATACATCATGTCTAGTTTATGTTAGCGAAGGCTTATCGGCAATTCGCACTACATTTTATCTATTTACTGTTTGGTATGAAGAGGGAGTTTGAATATTAATTTTACTTAGAACGTTATTCGAATCACTGATTTGTATTCTGAATAACTTTTCATGTAGGTTGGAACATGGTCAATGAGCAGTAAATGGGTAGAAGTAAATCAAGATTAAGAATAGATGGTGTAACATGGCCTGGCGCATCGAATTCTCCACCTAAAGGTCGACCAAGTAAATTCAAACTACGTGTAGTAACTATTAAAGAAATACCGTTTGTTATTTATACCAAAGCCCAAGTAAGAATATATTACACACTTTTAACTAAGAAGGTTATCAATTAAAATATAAGTATCCACATTTTGTAAGGTTAATATGTGTAAGTCTTTGTAAAATGAAATTGTTTTCTCCCAACAAACCACTAGATACAATATGCTTACTTCACAGAAGTTACATAACTTCAACATTATGATTTTCTATTGTGGTAATCAACACCAAAGTTGTGAAGTTAATGTAATCGTGAGAAATCAGTTGTAGTGATTTATTTTAGGTCTGTTATACTTTGTTATTCATCTACAAAGTTGTTCACTATTAAAGAATAAGTTTTTTGATTATAAAACAAATATTCAGTAATATGAATTCATATTGGTCTTGTAAATGGTTACTATCATAATGAAGTGTCTTTTTTGATTCGATAAAATACGCAGATGGTTTTAAAGACAGAAACACAAAGTTATCCAAAAATCACAAGCGAATGTAGTGAAACGTCATAAGGATTGATAATAAAGGGTTTCACCAACATTCTGGATCAGTTAAACCTATGGATAATGGCAGTAAATAATTTGATTTCTTTCTACACATAACGTATCATCTAAAACATATTTATGAAGACAGAAATACAGGCGACAATCCCGTCGTAAACTTTATTATATATTGTTTAAAACAAAGTTAAACTTTTATTTTGTGAATATGCAATGCATGATTCAACAATATAGACCTTCGCATTTTCTTTCCAGAATTTCAAAATCAAGTAAATACATACTATAGCTAAACAAAGTGAATGTTATATACAATATATATGCAAAAAATGTTTGGGATAACAATAGATTCTTTCGTGACATTTCTTATCAAACGATTAACTCTAAAGGGAATGTATCATCCCCACATTCTAGAACACCATTCTTAAAAATTTAAAACACAAATGGTTTTTATCAAAATCGAAATGGTCTTTTTAGTTTGAAGAAATACATTATTGCGATGTCAGTGATTATTATAACTGCGAAATGAGCAAGTTTATATCTTCTGTAGTGATAAAGAAATCCGAGAAATTCAAAGTTCAACAGATATTCGACACTTGAAACCTAACATCAGTAGTTTTAATAGGTTTAATTTACTAAAAGTAAGCGGTCAACCATCGAAGCTATTGGTATTGTCACCGCACTGCACACTGTACTAATCGTAAACAGTTTTTTTTTGTTAACTCAGATGAATAATCCGTCTCACCCTCTCAAACTTTACTGTCCGAAAAAATATGTATTGTATTCTTCCTTTATAATGATTTGTTGGCTGTAAATTATTATGAACTTGACATCAATGACGTTAGCAATCGTCGAATTCAAGCATTTTGATCTCTAGCTCTGGAAATCAATCAAATTAAAGCACGAACTAAATGCTTGATGGTGTTATATTTAAACATAATTTTCGTTTTTTCTTTTCTCGAAATTCTATTACAAGGAAGGTGGAACATGTGATGCGAATTCGATTCCGTGCAAACTCAGACCACAGTCTTTACAAGATGAAGATATTTCTGGAAAGAATTCAGTCATCCATAAAACTTTAAGTTCACTTGGATTAAATTCTTATACTAAAGATATCAACAAAAAAATTAAACCAGAATCGTTAACTGAAAATGTTAGCAATTTGTCAGAATTATATAATGTAAATGAGAATAATTCAATTAGTTATGTAGATGGTTGTTGTTCCGGACTGACAATGGACTTATTAATGGAATTAATGAAAGATTTAAATTTTGATGTTGAAATGTATGAAGTTAAAGATGGTTTCTGGGGGGCTTGGACAGTAAGTTATCGTATATATAATAATGACAACATTATAGTTAATTTTATTATTTGTTTTTTCATTACAAATATTGTCTCCAAAATTAAAAGATACCGTTTCGACAAGCTACAATCAAAAGCTTTGAATTATAGAGCTTTTTTTTAGATTTAGTAAGAATGGTGTGCTCATATGCAGCTGGCGATGAAATTAATGTCTCCAAATTCTATCAGAAAGTCCATACTGATCGATGACAACGGGTGACGCTGTACTAAATTGCAAATTAACTGAAAATAGTCTTAAACTACGAAAAAACCTTCTTTCTTGAACTAGTGTTTGGTTATTTTTCAGGCATTCATAATTTTCTAAACACAATGGAAGTACTTAGTCATGATCAGATAATAAGTATCATAATAAATCATTATTAAAGTTAACAAGAATGACTACAAGTAGATAGAATACAATTCAATATAACTATCCTTTACTCAAACTTGAGATTCGGACATTTAGTCTTTCAGATTAGCTATGCAGTATTGAAATAAAAAGCCCAAAAAATAAACCTTAGTTTTTGCCACGGACTGGAATCAACTAGGAGACCACTGGAAATCAGGAAGCTGTTACTTTTTCGTATGGGATTCCTCAACGACATACTTCCCAACTGGTGTTTGTTTTGATTGGTGAATAAGCTTTAGGTTTGTACCATAAAATAGTCTCATGAAAAGGATGAGACGGATATTCAAGATAAGCATAAAATCAAACAATCGTTTAGTTTGCCGGAGTATTTCTTCCTGTAAGTCAGAGTTCATGAATAATAATTAAGCCTTTATTTCTTTCAATGTTCACATAATGAAATATATAGCCTTGACTACACTGTGGACAAAATGAGAAAAGGCATGGAAATACTTATACGGTAACAGTCGAACACAATATAATGATAGTAAGATAAAATAGTTATTGGTTGAAGGGATATTATTCATCATTAATACATTCGGTGGATTGAACACACATTTCAAAATACGGACTGTCAGGGTTCGATAACTTGTATACTCTTCAAGGTAAACTTTCGGCAAAATTTCGATATATTACATAAATAACTTTTCAGTATTGCTGTTGATATTTATCATTTGCCTATTCATGGGAAAATAATCTTTTAAGTGCTAACATCAAAATCGTTTAAACAGGCCTCAGTCATTTGGCTTTCTGATGTGGAAGACAGGATATCTTCGTCAAATTACAGCATTATTTCCAACGATTAAATTCATTTTCTGTGGTAAGTGTGCAAATGCTGATAAAAATTTACCACAAAGACTAGCCTAAGAATAATGAATTATGTAAAGTCATGAACTAGTAGCAAACAATGAGGCCCACACGGTTTTTTTCTACATAAGTTGCGTCACTAGCGTTTGATTACAAAGACTTCTGCAAAGCGACGTTTCTTGTTTGTTAATCATTTTCAGGACTTCAAAGATAACAAGTTCATGTCCACCTAAGATTTGAACGTCTGGCAACTAAGTATTGAAGAGTTAATTTTCTTTTACGCTAAGGTTTCGAATAAGTCATCTAGGATACCATGTAAAAATCCTTTTTTGGTCTTTTCTAAAAACTTGTTACCATAAGTACTGTATTTATGTTCATAAATGCGCCAGTTCAAACTTTATTGGTTTTATTGTCATTTGGAGGAATGAAATAAATTCATGTGAGCTATAGAAAGCCTTCTTTTAGTTCAGTTATTAACTTTCTGCTAGAGACAACTGTATTTTACAAAACTGTACTGGTACAAATTTCATACCAATCAGGTGTAATACAATGGAATTTTGTGCATCTATTCACTCTCACAACTTTGTATGAAGTTTTTGAACCATATATGTTGTCTTTTACCATTTAATTAACTGAATAATATTGTTTTTGGAAATACTGACATTTCTATTTGAAAGCCAGATGGATGGAATGGTATTATACGTGATCTAATGGATAATAGAGCTGATTTGGCAGTAACATCATTGAAGATCACACCTAATCGATCCCAGCAAATTGAATTTAGCGTACCATTTCTAGAAACAGGTATAGCAGTTGCAGTGGCTTTAAGAGAAGGTGCTATAGCTCCAACAGCTTTTTTAAGTAAGTTGAATATTTGTTGGATTCTTTGTGGAATATTTTAAGTAGTTGACGTTAGTTTTCATTGTGGACTGACTTCAGGTGAATAAGCACCAGATAGAAGTATTGTTCGAATTTGGAGATACTATGCAGTGTATATCTATCACCTTGCACGGCATTTATTGTAGGATATTTAGGTCCCATGGTAAATACGATTCTTTTAGACCACTTAATCGTGGCCCAGAGACCCATATTTGGAACTCCAGTTCACTCGTGATACGGTTCGATGATCGACTTCAATCATAGTGAATATTTATCAGTCTCAAACTGGTTGAACTACAAAGATAAAGGCTTCTTGACAGCATTTCAACAATTAATCTCAGAGATTTGCTACTAATATGCACATTTGAAGGTGAATACTTTCTCCAGATTTATGTGATTACTAAGGATAGTCTGTTAGGATCATTATTACCTGAAGCGTTTATGATATATTGAGAATCTAACTGAAGTGCTAACCGAAAACACGTGCCTTTATGAGAGATATGTGGATAAAATCTTACTTGTGATAAAACAAATGTGAAATGCTAACTGAACCAATCTAACACTACAAAACCACATGTCTTTCTCAAAGAAGAGGACTAACCGGGTCTATATCCTGGATATACTTATAAGTAGAAGAAATGGTTCAATCAGATGATCCGTCTACAGAATGCCAATTTGGACGGGCCAATGTCTTAGTTATCATAGTTACTGGCCAGTTCAATAAAATGTGGGCGCGATGAAGAGTCTATTTAATAGGATTGACCGTATTCCTACAAAAGATACTTTTGAAGATGAAATGATAACTGAAAAAACAATGGAGAATGGGCATTCCCTAAAGGTAATAAATGGATGGTAAGGTCACAGTATCACAAGACCTGCTACACCTATGACATTTAAAAAGCCTGGTCATATCACCTTACTATTTAAAATGAGTTAAACTGTGTGTCAAAACAAAGGTTCAGATTATTGTTAGTACGATGTACTATGCAGTAAAGGTCATTATCATTGAAAAAACACTGCTTATGCTTCACCAAAAACTTAAAAAGCACGTAATCGATTGTATTACATCTCATTATCTAATAATTTACATGTGTGCGGTCACATAGCTATATATATCGTGGTTTGCAAGTTAGGATCTCTAAACGCGTACCAAAATAGCTACGGAAACAAATAAAATCAAAAGACTCAATGAAAGCATACGATAAAGAGTCACCTTCCTTCGCTGTAGAACAGTTAAAACAGGTCATAAGATTGAGTCTGACTTGGCCTTGCTGGTTGTGTACAAAAGTTTATTATTATTTATTTCAACACATAGATATTGGTACAAAGAGGCACCAAATACATATGCGCCACACAAATCTCATTCGATATTGTGAGGGCTGTGATACTGTCCGGGTGCCCAAACCGAAGCGCGGGGTCTTCTTAGGGGGCCACTCCCCGAGCCTTCGACCTGAAGGTCTGATCCACAAGGCAGTGGAGCATCGTAAGGAGATGCAGTCCCATGGAAGCCGGTGACCAACAACTGGTTCACACGCCATTTGTTCCCTCAGGATACTAGGGCCCATGTGCACCATTGGTTTGGAATCCGTTTAAAGCGCCGGACATTCGCTTTTCGTCCTCTCATTTTCGTAAACAACACCCCTGCCACGAGAAGGCAGTGAGTAGAACTTCCCTGGCAGAGGCTATATACGCGTGGCCATGTGAGAGCATTTCGAGAGGGAAAGTGGACTCTCCCTACTCTCGGCCGTACCAGGCATTTGGGGGCAATGTGTACAAAAGTTCAGAAGAGTATACCAAGATTTATTGAAGCCTTGGCTATTCAAAAATTATAACTTCTTTTATGTATTCAGAAACGATTTGCTTTCACCCTAAACCTACCCTAGTTATAAATTTACTATCCAGCATAATCAGTGTTACATTGTTTTCCACATTATTCTCTATCGTATCTTGGTTTCCTCTTACATTCCACTTGTCTAGATAACCTCTTGTTTTTCATATATAAATATTATTAATAAATACACATACGAACAGATTGTTCTGGATGCATCCAGCTGATATATCACATGAGTTCTGAAGATCTGTCTTCTTATGACATTATCTGAATTTATCAAAAAGACTAATTGTTTTAAAATTCTTGTGATGGTATTTACTAGCTTTTGGCGTAAAGGAAAGCTTTACTTATTTTTTCATAGACTATTATTATGGATGATATTGTAAAAAATTAAACTGAAAGATCTTAGAGAAAGATCTAAGAGAGATTGCTCTCATGTACCTGGAAGTAATAATTATTCTTAACTCCACAGTTCTTTGACCTTTTCACTCGTTTTTAACCATACTCAACATTAACATGCGAAAACTGATATTTATAAACCTGAAAACATATCCAAACTTATGAGGTCAAGGTAGTGTAGTATGCTTCCGCGTATACAATCCATATCTGAAGTTTATATGTAACCATGTTAAAAATAATTACAAATTTGAATTGTTTCAAACAAAAACCAACTACTATAGCCAAATTAGTAGTGTACTAGTACTTTCTGAATGTGCAATCCAATTTTTGACTGATTTTTACATAACTTAGACAGTTGTATAATGTTTATAGTTACATTTGACATTTCAATGCTAAAGACATCATTTGATATCCATATTCTGCGTTAAACAGTTTAAAAGTATTATGTTACAAATCCAAAAATGTCTTGGGAAGCCTATAATGTTTTGCTACATATCAAATAAAATGCGTCAACTAATCTTTTTTTCTGTGATTCTACTGGTTTCTTTTTGACAGATCCCGAATTTATATTTAGATAGTTATTAAAAGCTAGCCAGAGATAAATTTACTAAGCAATTTTATAAATATGGTTTGTCTGTTAGTGTGATCTACAAATAGCGAATAATGTTCCATCTGAAAAATACAAGAAAGTGTGAGATGGCAGAATAGCGTAAGTGAACATGTGTTCAATCCATCTAACTGAAACAAATTTAAAGCAATAACTATGAAAATAATGTATGACATGTAAGATAAACTAGATAATGTGGTATATTTATTAAGGCTAAGTAGAGTGTATTTGATTATCATCAGTGTAGTATATGTTATTGTCACATTGTTCCACCTTAATCTAAACACTGAATATTAACTAGAAAGTGAATTGACTTTCTATTCCCATAAAGTGATTAGGGTTACTTTTATCAAAGACTGATTATCCAGGAAATAATTATCGGGAACTAAGTAGGATTGGGCTACGTTACAAATATCACTGATAGGAATAGAAGATAGTTGAGGGTTTTGAGTTTCTGGTACGAAGGTCAAAGTGTGCGCTGCTGAGAGAGTTCAAACTAGAAAAAAACAAGTACTTAATGTCCACTTATCAAATTTCTGTAAAAATTAGGTAATAACTGAAAAATCTTCATAATCCCCCTTTGATTTAAGTAGCACTCTCACATTACTATTTTTCTCATTTAATAGAGCCGTACGATTATCAATGCTGGTGTGTAATCCTCGTATTCAGTGTACATGCAACAGGTGCAGCATTGTACATTTATGAATGGTTTAGTCCCAATGGAATGAATCGTGGACATACAACAGATCAAAGTGAGTTTATTCGTCTTTTGAAATGTAAAAACTAAGTGTTTGGAAAATTACAACACAAACCAATTTATCATAGTATTGAGATAGTTTTGCTCAGTCACAGTCAAATAATTTTGATTAGTATTTATTACTTTTTTGAACGATATCACCATGATCTTGTTCACCTATTAGTGCAGTTTTTCAGTAATGCTTTTATTTTTAGGATTTAATTGTAGATAACAATAACAACCAATGCATCAAACTATGACCTAATGACCGAAGTATTATACGTTTAATTATTAGGTTATAGGTTAGAACTCAGCTCTACTAAATTTAGTTTAAACCCCTTGGGTTAAAAAACTGTGGTTTAATGACAAACACCCATAATCCGGTCAATATTGATCAACGGTCGCTAATGTGAGTTTTAGGAGAGTGAAGATTTTTCTTGAAATCTAAGTTAATAAAGTAGGGTACTAAATGAGTGGGACGTAATAAGGCGGAATATTTAGTCACCAAAACTGATTATTTTTCCAGTTAAAATAACACATATTACACGCGAAAAATGGATGAAATCCAAAGAAAATCATTTAAAACATGTAACTGCAGAATAAGGGTCCTTTAAGGTAATTCCATGATCCATAAAATTTAAGTACGGCTGTCATATATAGGTTAAAGAAGTTAATTTATAAATCAAATATTTCCAACACTGCTTTAGCAGCCAATTTATTTGTTTTTAAGTCGTGCATGACTGTTTTGCTGTTCTTTCTTTTAAAAGATCACCGATTTTCATTTTTCCGTTCACTTGGCTTATCTGGTCAATGTTATTCGGCGCTGCTGTAAATGCGGATAATCCAAGAGGAATGGCTAGCCGGTTTATGGCCAATATATGGGCATTATTCGCTCTTGTATTTTTAGCATCGTATACGGCTAACTTAGCGGCTTTTATGATTGCTAAAGAGGATTATTTTGACTTGAGTGGTATAAATGATTGGCGTGTAAGTTAACTGAGAAATTAATTTACTACTTAACGGATTTTTTGTCTGAGTTAAGGAATGATTAGTAGATGATATCTAGTTGACCAGTGAGACTCTATTTGTTTACAGTTATGCTTTCGCCTTAGCATCTGCAATAATTACCAAGGACATTATTGTACGTATTATTCAGTTGAAACATTTTATTTTCCATATAGTATGGAATTGTAAGGTAAATCGAAATACAAGAAAACATTTTTGCTCGGAACGTTTAGCTTTTTACAAATTTTTGATATATTTTGTGAGGATTTAGACGCTTGCTAAGCTTCATAATTTGGTAACAATCTGGATTTACGCATATTAACTTAGTATTGATGTTCCAAAGAGGAGTTGTACTTTTGCTAGAAAAATGGAGCCACATATTTTAATATTTGATTATTGATTCTAATCAATTACCTTGTAAAAGCCATTGTGTTATCTCGTGCGTGATTTCGATCAGATTTTATCGAACAGACTAATTAGTGATTGATTATTATCAATCTTCCAAGTTTACAGAAGATTAATAGCAACCCTAAATGCTCAGAGGCAACGTCTAGAACTTTAGTACTCAGTAACGTTGATTCCACTTTTTGCAGTTGACGTGCTTTGAAGATTCTTGAAGTGTCATTGATTACAGAACCTAGGTTTATAGTTCCCCGTCGGCTTACTCCATCTTATTAGTATTAACCACATACCTTATTTTAAGGTTCATTTAATAAACCGCTAACACAGATTTATTTAAACACTTTATCACAAAGCAACACACCTCTCGTATATTAAAACAAAATAACTTTGTAATCATTTTTACAGCATTCCATCTCAAATTTAATTAAAAGTTTAGAAGTAACAAAAAAACGCATTTACAGATATACACTAAACAAACCATAATGATATGAATATCAGATCATGACAATAAAAATATCATTTCATCATAAAGCACATAAGTTGCATTGATTATCTCGTTAGGTGTTCAAATGGAAAAACTTGAAGCGACTTGTGATTTGTTTTGGTGACTTATGTACAGAGATAAGTCTTGAATGTAACACACCCTACGATAAAATGTACAACAATCATGTTTTACAAACCAGTATTTATTAAAATAAACCAATTTTCTCACTTAAAAACGCATAACAGAGATTTTTTTGATGTAAAGTGAAACTCTGGATTACAAATCAAACTTACTATCATGTTTATTATTACATTAAGTGGTTCAAGGTAAACAGTAGGAAACCCTGGACCTAAGTTTCTTGCTTGTTAGCACTCGTCAGCAAAGTGTGCTTTCAATCATGAGAGAACTAATGGTTTGTGTGGGATTCAAAACGACGTTGCCCAACTTCACAGTCTGATATATTACTCCTGGGACTAGATAAGCGTGGCGTTGAGGTTTATATACTCAGTTAGTGAGCTATAATCCAAAGATCTATTGTTAAACTAATTTATGATAAACACAAAAAGTGAATTGTAGTTATTTTCTCCGAAGCAGTTAAAAAATGATTTTCACAAAGAAAGTTGCGAAACGATGTTGATTAATATATCAACTGATCACTGAATTGTGACCAATGTTCAGATTCACACCGAGACTCAAACCCATTGCTAATTGTTACAAAAGCCAACGAGTAATACAATAAACTACTGGCTGTAGATAACTTGTAATTGGTTTAAGGGTTATGATGTTAATCACTTATAAACAGTTGTGTATTTTATAACAAGAATTTTGTAACTACAGATAATGTCGAGACATTCGCACATGGTGGAAATAAGCCACTATAGATTGATCGGAATTCACTCCTGAATATTTACGACGGAAAGATACACATTTATGTGGAACGAATAAGCTGTCAGAGGAACAACTATGACGATATTATATTCAGTAAAAGTGTCAGTGAATAAGCAATTGTGTGTATGCGTGTGTTAAATGAATTAATAAAGATGGAACCGATGGAACCAGTACTGGAGAGTAAGGGGGGTTGACTTTGATGAGACGACGATCTACTTTTTGTCTGATCAAGTGTAGCTATCGATACCATTTCTTATTCACTTGCCAGAGCTTTTGAAATCCCCTAAAACACTTTATGCTGTCGCGAAATTGATGTAAAATGACTGCATGATGAAATACGCCTGGTTTATATCCCTTTGGCTTTGAACACAAACAACCCTTTATACCTTTTAAATGTAGATCAACATGTAGCATGATAGTGACCAACTAACAGAAAAAATCTGTTATCAAGTACCTTAGAGGTTTTTGTATTTCATAGTGACGAATGATGGTATGTTTAGTGAAAAATTTGAATATCCTAGATTTTGACATTGACAAAAGTGGAAATTTCATTTGTTACCTGAATTCAGTGTTGATTTATGAGAAGGTACAAATCAACAAAGGACTAACAGTTCTAAAAAAACTTTTCACTAACTTGTCAATTGATTGTACTGTTTGCTTACTTTTTTTAACTTTCTATCCAATAAGCCAAATAATTTGATATAACTGTTGCATGTCAACTTTCTGATAATATTTGTAAAGAAAACACGTGAAAGATCGCAACATATTAGCATAAATGGGTTCATTCTAGCATTTTGAATATGAGTTATCTGTAGTAAAATATTCAAAACGTAACAGATACGATGAAAAACTACTTAAAACTGTCGTGATATTTCGAGAAATTCATACGATAGTAAATGCGTAACACTTCTATTCCATTATAGATTTCAAGTAGAAAATATATTTGATATATTAGCTTAATATTTGGTAAGCTGTAATTTGAACTACAAAAAATTGAATGAAAATGTGTCATTAAACATTTAGAACATATATATCCTATGAAGTTCGCAGAAATATCTTTACTCTTTTGTCTAAATATCTACAACAATCACTATAATAGCATAAACACTGATCTTACCACAAATTTAATTCTTTGTTCACTAGTGAACCAAAAGAAAAAAAGTAAACGTCTTCAACAAGCAGACGCTGAACATGGTGTTTAGAATGACAAAGGAGGTTCCGAAAAGAAAACACCTAGCTCAGAGAACTCAATACCGCCAAAACAGAAATAGGCAATTAAATAAAGAGGGAAAATAATTTCTAGAATAGTTAAGACACTTTTATGCAGTCATCGAAATTTTATCTTGTTTTTATTCATTCTAATAACTTAGAAACAAAGTTTTCTTTATACGCTTAGTTGCAGCATCCATGGAATGTGAAACCCCCATTTAGATTTGCCACTATACCAAGTGGTGCTACAGAAGAGAACATTAAAATCAATTTTCCTGAAATGCACAAATACATGAGAAAATACAATAAATCCGATGTTGAAGACGGTCTCAAGGCAATGAAATCAGGGTATGTACACTTCATAAAACTCTTAATAAGTAACAAACATGTTTCAGATAATTATCAAGATTGTGATCTTGTATACGATAATCCTTCTCTAATCGTAAGGTTTATGATAAAACTTTTATTATAAACCGACATCAACTGGAAAGATAATGTGAACCAAGGAGCACCTGACAGCTCTTTTATCTGAGATTAGGAATCCCCAGATGTACGCTTCTATAACTTAACGAAAGATTAAGTTCATAGCGTCAGTCGCGCTGTACTTCAGAATGACTACTTTTGAAACTATGGATCACTAGACTCAGTGGTTTAAAAGTAACACGTTTGTAGAAAGAATCGAAGGTCCTGGGTTTTATTCAGTGAAAGGTTTTTAGTGCATAAATCTAGTGAAGATGAAACAACCGTGTAATACTACGTAGTTCTCACCTGATTTCATGCCATCATGAAGACCATGTATGTATTGTTTTGAAATGTAAACAATCAAGGAGTGTAAGATGAGACGGATAGTGGCTAACAGTGGAATCTAGGACGCACGTTTCGTCTTACATGGGACTCGTCAGCTGGATGTGCCTGCATCTCAGAGTTGATGCTCACTTCAGGATTGGTTTCAGTTTTCTGAGACATGGTTCGTAATTAGTTTAGACATATGCTAGTACTTTTTACATGACGGTTAAGAGTAAAGTCCAGAATAATTAAATTGTCCTGTTAAAGTATATTGGATAAATATCAGAAGGGGTTTTGTAGAGATTGTAGTAATTTTAATAGTTGAGATCATTAGTCAGTGGAAGCCAGGCCTGGTCAATTGTGAGATAGTAACTCACTGAAGAGAATGGTGGATGTGTCGCTCAATTTCGTGGATTAATTGAAGTTATACACTAACACCTTTGGATGCCGGTCGGCTTAATGGTATTGTGCTTAAGCGCTCGCGCGCGAGACTGACAGGTCCTGGGTTCGAATCCCGCGGGTCTGGGTCGTGGATGCACACTGCTGAGGAGTCCCACAGTTGGACGAAATGGCCGTCCAGTGCTTCCAGGTTTTCCATGGTGATCTAGCTTCAATTGACTCATGATCTCAACCATTGAAATTATATTAGATAACTTCTAGCCCGTATGTTATAACGGAAAATAAAATTGACGTGACTAGACACAAGGGAGAAGACAAAGACGACAGGTGAAAATTTAATATACGCCAAAAACATCCAAAATTAGATCTGAACACAGTGACTTTTATATTTTATTTACACTAAATAATGGTCAAATTTGAATTAATTGAATTGAGTACCAATTGTTAATCAGTAATTTAATACATAAACGGAATTTACAATGTCATAAAATTAGGGTGTTATAACTAACAAACGTAACCAATTTACTGTTATATACTCCCTTACCTAGTAGATTTTAGCGTTTCTGATGACACACCATACTAACCATCTCTGACTTAAAATTACCACCAATAACCTTATATTGAAGCGATTTCGAAATCGTTTGAAAAAAAGCTTTTATAATCCATCCACACAATACTGAAACATAATCTACTTGTATTTACCAGAATGATCTATTTCAAACCTAACCCATATGCAAACATGCTTTATAAGTAAGTTTATAAATAGTATAAAACGGTCAAGGAATTCTTCCAGTATGTCAGTCTATGCAAACATATACATGCACATACAAGCACATCCATATATGTACAACTGATAATTATTTATTGACGAATAATTGACAAGATTTTGGTTAAGTAACCACTCTTCATACAGTAGTACATGCATGAATTATTATTATTATTACTAATATTGTTATTATTATTATTATTGTTAAAAAACAGATAAAAGCATAATGATAGATAACATCAATTTTCAGATGAAATTTTTTAGCACCACAACTAATTTATGTAGAACATCCTATTTTTATTCTGAAGCAAAAAATGAATGCTTACAGGACTATTAAAAAAATGTATCAGCTAAAAATAAAATTTTTACAATTATGATTAAATGTTTGAATGGTACAAAATAAAACTTATAATCAGATCAAAATTGAGACTGTCTTGATATATATTGACTGGTAATAGGCAACCATATTTGTGTCAAAATTTTACTCTTTGATAGAAATGACTGGAATTAATAAATTTCATTTAAAATATTGAGGATTTATAATTATCATTATCAAATGGTATTTATTCATCATACTGTACTGGACTATCCGCAACTTGTTACGATTTTGTTATACGTTAGGACAGTAATATATATAATCTCGATTATTCCGACTGTTAACTTCCCAGTAACTGAAATTATTTTTAAGTAGGCACCAATCAAAGCATAAAATAGATCGAGGATTCAAGTCTAAGAACCTAAGTTTTAACTGGGAATTGGAAATTTCCTAAACGCCTACTATGGTATGACTAGTAGGATTGGTAGCCAAAAAGCAATTATTTTTCAAAAAAAATAGAGGCGGCTAGCCCATACTCTCAGTTGATTTTCTTTGACTTATATAACAGAAAACAAACAATCCGTTGTGAAGATTGTTGAATTTTAACCAGATCATAAACCGATTTTTGTTAGGCAAATATTGAAAACCTGGAAGCACTGAATGGCCGTTTGATCCTAATGTGGGACTCATTCAGTTGTCTCCATAATCACATACTGATAGTCAGTTTGTCACAACATAGAACCTGGTACGTATGCACATAGGTTTAAGTTGCCATACCTCATACAGATAATTATCATGTGTTCACTAGTGACCAGCTTCGATAGGAAAATCCTGAAGTTCAAGTAAAAAGCAATGACTAGTGGAGTTCAACTATTTTGAATGTGAGGAAGTTACACACCGAAGACAATGCAATTTGGCCAGGTAGTACCATCAGTTGATTGAGGTTCGACTAGTACACCACTGAATCCCAGCTCAGTGATCTAGAGGTTACGTGTGAAACTGTAGGTTCCGAATCCGATTCCCGGCTTCGGGGTCGTGGATACGTACGATTCAGGAGCTCCAAACCGGATGAAAAGATTTTTCAATGCTTTCAGGTTTTTAATGGTTGTTTAATCATTTTGTGATCTTAATATAGATCTGTTAACTTTTTTAAAACCACTATTTTAACTCTTATTAGACAACTGGATGCTTTTTTATATGACGCTAATGTATTGGATTATTGGGCGATGAAAGATGAAGGTTGTAAATTACGTACAGTTGGAAATTTATATGCAATGACGGGTTATGGAATTGGTTTTGCTAAAAATAGTCGATGGTTAACGAAAGTTAATTCACGCATTTTGGATTATCAAAAAAATGGTAAGTTAGATCAATGCATAAAATTCTCTTTTCTACATTCTGTAAGGTAGTTTCAGCAGCTTATACTCAAAATAATGATGCACTTTGCATATCTTGTACATTAAAACGGTACAAATATGAAAAATGAGCTTCCTTTTAGTTGAGTTCTTCACATTTGGTAATGTGATCCATAGGTTCACATCCTTTAACTTCACAGATATGCTTTACATACCTCTGACTGAAGACCAACAAACTAGTTACGTACACAAAATCTAAGTTGAGAGCACTTCAGTCGACTTATCTTCAACATATAACATCACTTAACTTAATGATCAACCTGTAAGCTTGGATCATATCAACAAGTGAATTCGGTAATAACATTGGTTTAGGGATTGACTCGTACTTATTTTTTAAAAACTCAAGTTATTTGTATTATAACTTCTAGAAAGTCACCGTATGTACAGATGATAAAAGACCACAAGAAAGTAAAGTTGTCTAAGATAGAAAAATTCAATTCATCACTCTAGACGATGAATACTTTTGTAACGGCCATTAAAATATATTGTAGAAACAAAACAAAGTCATATTTTGGAAGTCAAAACTAAACATTGCAATGTTTGTTTTGCTTAAGATCGATGAGATTAAGCTTTAGTTAGTAAATGATATACTTCTAATATGCCTGAATAACAATTCAATAAATATATTATACTAAATGGCTGCAGTTTTATTTATGATTTTATGAGACGAGTTTATAATCACTTAACAGTAATTGGATGTGTTATTCATTATTACTCTTTCGTTTAGGAAAATTGCAACGTTGGAAAAAATTTTGGCAAACAGGTTCATGTAAAAAAGATGCTGCTGTTGGGAATACAAATAAGACATTGGGAGTTAAGAATTTTATCAGTGCTTTCATTCTACTTGTTTGCGGAATGCTTATTTGCACTGTATTCTTGTTAATTGAATACACATTCTATTGGTATGCAAAACCAAAATTACAAAAATCAATCAAGCCAATTGGTTCGGTAGACTTAGTTTGGTAAATTTGAACTAAGAATATAATAGTATTTAAATGTCACATGTTATATGAATGAAATAGTCAAAAACATCACGCAATATTTCCAATACATATAAGCTATTTAACAAATTTTAAGGACGTTGAATTAAAATTCTTCAGATTTTAATTAAACTATTGACAAGGGAAAGTTATATTTTGGCTGATGGTTAGTAGTGCAGTCCAGGTTGTGGTTACATTCCAGTCGAGAATCTCTACAGTTCATATTTACGTGGAGCAACAAGTTTATTAGGTATGTCTACATCTTTACTGTAGTAACAAGCGGCATCACATCTTCATCCGCAGAAAACTCAAGTTCGTTCTATCTTTATAATCTTAACGTCAGATAAAATGTACGTTACACAAGAAATTAAAGTGCTCTCTCATTTCATTTTACGTGTATAGATTCCAGTGCACTTGTATTTTATTGTCGGAAAAAACAAAGTGAATGTTTGTATTTGATGAGAATAAAGTTATCTGGTTGTTTGTTAGATTACAAATATCTATTTATAAGTTAGTCAGTGTCCGTCATCAACTCAACTGATAAAATTCAAGGTCTTACAAAATGTTATAAACTGTTTGGCTCAAAAGTATAGGTATAAATTAAAGGAATTCATAAGAAGGAATAGGCAATAATAAATAATAGTCGATAAATCACAAAAACGTTGCGTATATTATATGAAAAAGGTACTCATCAATGTTGACAAATTGTAAGAAAGCTAGGAGAGATGGGTAGAAAAACTTGTATGAACATAACTAAAATTTGAAATGCATTAAAACGTCAGTGATATTTTTGAGAGTTACGCAACTATCAACATCCCCAACTCCTATTCACATTTAATGGTTGATGCACAGCGAACGTGATGCCAAGACGGAATTAGATAAACGCTGATTGTGGATTGATTACAGGATATGTCATTTGAAATTTTTCCCTCAAAGCAACATTTTTCACTAATTTAAGAAATGTAATCTAATAAGCTTACTACAGAAAGGAGAATAAAACTACCCATAGGGATTTTACGGTATGTTATCATTTGAAAAATTATTGAAATTTGCAGGTGAATCACATATATACAATGAAAATCTTTTTATTGACACAAAGCTAATCAATGAAATAGAGGGTCTGCAAAGATTGCTAAATCATGCAGTGAATTCAGCTAAGAGAAATCAGGTAGTATTACCCAGTTGTTCTGATCCTGTGGTGAAATATTATTGATCAACAACATCAACTGACTGTATTCATAAATGTGAACCACTGGATGCCAGGGCAGCATTCTAAAAGTAATCCATTCCCTTGAAGCTCTTGGGTTCAATCCCTAAGAAAGAGTAAGTACACAGTACACATTAAAATACTTGTGCACAATTGCCTGATTTCTGTTGGTTAACTGGGTAAAGTCAACACGTGAACAACTAGTGTTAGGAAGTCAAAACAAGTAGTCTATTGACATAATTTTCTCACGATAAATTAATTCGCATTATATTATTCTTAAATACTGGTTGATTATTTTTATTACTGTTAGCATTTTGTAAATTAACCATGATTACCTCATATAAATTTTTCTACATTTAGACTGCGAATCATACATGCTACTTGTCTGAACAAAATAATCAGATTATGAGCGTAAAACTTGCTAAATATAAATGCGATAATCCAACTTGTGATATAAAATCAAAAAACTATGCTAAACAAGTTGAATTATTACAAAATCAACTGGATGAACTGCAAAAATCTTTACAAAAACAGAATTCACCAATTCAACAATGCAATAAGTAAGTAAACTATTTGTTCTAACTGTAAGTTTTACTGCTAGACATCATTTGTACATGACTGATGAGCACACAATGGTTCATGCAATGACCTTGCAACTATGCTAGTTCCTGTATGAATATCAAAGTAGAATTATACACAAAATAAAACAAGTGGGTAAAGAGGGAACGTTTAAAACTGTTACTCATTAGTCCAAAGCTGAATGTCCTGAACCAATAAATCGCAAAAACTAGATCTTATTATGGAAAGCATTATATTTATTTACATTGCCTACTTTGTAAGGCTTAAAGATCCTGAATTATATGGATCATGTATAATCACGACTCATCTACAACGTAGGACCAGGCACATATATGTATCGGTCCAAGTTTCCACACCTCATTGGCACAAGATGAAAACCAAATTTATAGAAACACTTGATTGAATGGTAGTAAAAAAACATTTCACATAAGGATATGATACAGAGAAAAAGAGTTCGTAGAAGGAAAGGCTTCAGGTAATTTTAATCCCATAGTTTAAGGGAAAACAAAGTGTATACACCTACGCCATCGTGATCGATTCTGAGTCATGTCATTCAGTCTCCGACCATTGGTTACGATTGTCGCGCGGAGTCAACCAAGTAGTCTCCATCTACCAACATGGCTCAGACCAGAAGTTAGTGAATTTATGAACTGATGCCAAGTTTTTGGTTTGGCCGCCCCTAACTTTCCTCCATCCGTCTCCAACACTAGTCAGCATTGCGCGCCGTGGTAATCGGTGGTTGGGCATGCGTAACGTGTGGCCCGATCATCTCAGTCGATGTAGACTCACAACCTCACCAACTGATTGAACATTATTTCCTAATACCCTGTGTCTAACCTTACTGATCCCAGCAGATGTTGATAATATTTCTTAGAAATATGTGATCAAATACTGGTGACTTCCGAGTATTATCTACTCTTAATGGCCACATTTCGCAGCCGTAAAGTAGAATAGTAGAACTGAGGCGCAGTATACTCGTCCCTTAATTGATAGACTGATATCTCACCTTCCCCATAGGTGACGTAAGTTGGCAAAAGCCAAACGAGCTTTTCGAATCCATGCAGAGATTTCGTCACACACCAACCCATTAGGACTGATCAAACGCCGACGCGCTCGACTACTTCACTCCCTGTTCTTAGTTCAGTTGACGCAGGCCAGTTCTGAAGCCATAATTCACATTTAGGGGGGGGGGAGAAACGCATCCCAAACATTCTGGTATTGTTGCTCAGTGCCACCAGAAGACTCAGTATTTTGTCAGCATCTTCACCAAACAGACCTATTAAAAGTTATCCCCAACCTTATGGGATAAAATCTCAAACATTAGAATCTCAGAGCTAGCACGTTTGCCTTTAGACTTATGTACTCGCTTCGGTGGTACATATACTAAAATTGGAACGATACATAAAAGAGTAGTATGGCCCCTGCGCAAGGATGACACGTAAATCGTGAAGCGTTCCATATTTTTGCGCCCAAATGCCCTGGTACGTCCCAAATTCTCTCACATGGACATGCATATATAGCCTGTGGCAGGGAAGTCATATTCACTGTCTTCTCGTGGCGAGGATGTCGTTTACAAAATTGAGAGGACCGGGTTGGTGGACACGGAGAGTCCACCTTGAGGATTTGGAAAACCCTGATTCCAAAACCAATGGTGCACATGGGCTCCAGTATCCTGAAGGAAAAAATGGTGTATGAACCAATCGTTGGTCACCGACTACCACGGGACTGCATCTCCTTACGATGATTCACTGCCTTGTGGATTAGACCTTTAGGTCGAAGGCTCGGGGTGGCCCCTTAAGAAAACCACCTGTTCTGGTTCGGGGAACTGCGCAGTGTCCCGGCCCTCACATAAATCGAATGAGATTTGTCTGGCGCATGTGTATGTATCTGGTGCCTCCTTGTACCAATATCTGTATGTTCAAATAAATAAATAAATAACGAATAATTAGAGTAGTGATCAACATTTTAGAAAACTAGTCAGACTAAACTGATTTCAACAAATTATACATAAACGTATGTACTAACACTTCACTTGTATTATTTTCTTAGCTTACACGGGAATCATTTTCAGAATAAAATAATAACATTAGATTCATGTGAGTATCCTAAGAGGAAAAAAAGACCTGTCAAGAAATCGGGTCAATCATCTCAATCAAAAGTGCCAAAAAGTGATGATAAACATAGATTAAAAATGAAAAACCACTCCATCGCAAAGCCTATTCTTAATAACAATGTTAATATTCATACAAAATTGAATACAGGTTATCTAAAAGCAATAACAACCACAACAACGACTACTACTATTACTACTCAAAGAAAGCACATCGGCCGATTATCGGAAAATGCACATCATAAAGTAACTATTATACCCGTTGTTGATCATTATTCAAATTATAATGAACATGAAAATTATCAAACAAAATCACCAAACAATACAGAAATACAATATGTGATCCTACCAAAGTTAGATTCATCACCGAATCGACGAAGACGATTTATTAAATCGGAATCGGTCGGTCCTTATCATAATATATCAGAATGTCATACAAATGTATATTTTGATACAGTTGACAATGTAACAACATTGAATAAAACACAATCAGTTTTACGAGTAATCAACCCAAATGATAAACTTATTGATTCCGAAGAAAATAATCCGGATAATTATTTCAATCACAATCCAATCGTTAATGCGAGTCATTTGGAACAGTATCCATCTTTAACAAATATTTTAAGTAAAGTAGATAAAAATTTGATATCAGTGAGCCTAGATCAACAAGAACAGGAACAATGTAGTACAAATTGTCTAGTTGAGAAAGAATCTGTCTTGTGAAAATAAAGTTTACTTTATGAAAAAGCAAGTTCATTTTTATACATCATTTCAGCCCAGGATTTCTAGTTTTTTAAGCTTAGAATCGTGTCTATTGATGAGAGTAAAATTAAATGAATGGTTAATGTTCAAGTGGATGATATTGTGGATATTACATCAATTTAGACATAGTTTTCGCCATAGACTGATAAAAATTAAGGTACCGTCAATAATCGGAAGGGAATGAACAACAATTTTATCTTAGTTTTGGATTCTTCTGACGTGCACATCCACAACCACACTATTATAGGTACAAATCGTGATAATTACCAGATCACATGTGAGTTTTTAATGAAATTTCGTACAGCTGAGCACATTTATTCTATAAAAACGTGTGAAATATTACTATATAGAGGGTAGTTCGGTGGATAAAACAGGGTACAAGGTTTGAGTCCTAATGTGAACATCAACACTGGAATGCAGGTGTATCTAAATGAGTCCCAAATAGAACGAAGCGCGCTTTTTAGATTTCACTGATAACCACAAATACATTTATTTTACAATGAAAAACTTGATAACTTGACGTATATTGGAGTCTCCTCGAATGAAAAATACTGTTCAAAGACCTCTATTAATGAAGATGTTTGTTACCAATCATTTTCCTGTTTCAAAGCCTAACGGAGTGTGTACAGCTGATAAAGATATGCTAAGTGTTACTTAATTACGCCTGTAATTAATTGGGAGATAAGTAACCAATGACTAGGTGAATTGCTTCTTATAACAATTCACATACAAGTTCATCCATTAGTCATAATTTTTTCATAGATAGGTTTTCCTACAGTGTTCATTCTCTTTGGTAAACTAAAGAAACTGAAAATTGTTGGTTTTTGCTACTCACCTGATCGAAAATAAATTCAACTGAAATGGGAGATGTTGAAGTTAAACGATTAACAAACTAGTCTTAAAGTAATCATCGTATTGTTTCACATTATTTAATGATCTAATTCTGCAAATTGAAATTTTAATCTGGACACTAAACTAAGACACTCGACATTAAAAGCATTTGAATTTGTATTGGATAGGTTTTGATGAACACTGAGACTAAATAACACGACGTTAGTTACTATCTAATGGCAAATAAGTATCATTGACAAATCACTACAAAATATTATTTGAATCTAAAGATAGGTTAGCTGCATAGTAATTCTGGCTGCAGTGATGAGTAGCATAGTTGGAAATATCCATAATAATAAATTTCCAACGATAGGAATATCCCACAACTTGAAGACTAACTCAAAAATTCATTTCACAAAAGCCTCTAACTATCGAACACTATCACTAATTGCTTTCAGATGTATATTTTAAACATCTCCTCTAATCCATTTTAATTTATAAACTTTTATATCATTTCTGGCCCTGTCTTAGCAAAAATCTAGGAATCAAATGGGTTGTTTGGGTATTCGATAAGTCCCTTGAGAATGAACAATAAGCATAGACGATCGCAATTTTTTTCAATTTAAGGCAGATTTTGCGTCTGACTTTCTTCCACCACTTGAAAAAATCTTACCCTTCAAGCAACTTGACGAAAATTATCAAATTAAGGCAAATTATCTAGGGATTTAAAATACCCCATAAGATATAAATATATAGGGTGGAACCAAATTGTGTAACGATTTTTTTCGAGTAGAACACAAATGAAGAATAATCTATGGCAGGGAGTAAGTGCAATTCGTTCTCTCCTAATAAGAAAAGCAATTCAATAAAAATCAAAACAGAGATAATCAGTTTCCTGGTTCTGCTCGAATTTGATCAGAGGGCCGTTTATGTATTAATTCACTCATTCTCCTTTAAATTTTGAATTTTAACGCAATTTCTGTTAATTTCATCCCTTAATTGTTTAAATTAAATGATTAGCTTATTATTACTACTACTGATATCATTCTAATCTTTTATTCATTTTACTAATCTTCTCCTGTCTTAGTGTGATATTTTTAGAATAATGCCAATTCGTGCTATCTCCTGCAATGCTTAAAACTCATTGACCGATCGATCATTTATTAGTATCCAAAGAAAAAAATGTTTCTTAAGGATTGTCTTCTTAAATCCATTATTATAAGTTTATACGAAGAAATTCAATGACTTGGTTACCAGAATAAATGTATCACTCTAACTAAAAAATCATTTAGATGATGAAACCGACTGTGCAGAACTGAATATACATATTCTAGAATCGATTCCAGAATGCACACCAATTTACAAGTATCATTAGATTGGTACAAAAGGTTAGGCAATAATGGAAAAAGAGTAAATTACATCAGATGTGATTTATGAATTGCTCTCCCTCTCGAAATGCTCTCACATGGGCACGTGCATATAACCACTGCAGGGAAGTCATATTCACTGTCTTCTCGTGGCGAGGATGTCGTTTACAAAATTGAGAGGACCGGGTTGGTGGACACGGAGAGTCCACCTTGAGGATTTGGAAAACCCTGATTCCAAAACCAATGGTGCACATGGGCTCCAGTATCCTGAAGGAAAAAATGGTGTATGAACCAATCGTTGGTCACCGACTACCACGGGACTGCATCTCCTTACGATGATTCACTGCCTTGTGGATTAGACCTTTAGGTCGAAGGCTCTGGGTGGCCCCCGAGACTGCGTGAGTGGATAGCCATTAAATCGTGCATTACCTTGAAGTGAGATTTTATTCAATTGTAATTATCATTATCGTGTAAAGATAAACGCTGTCAAGATTAGTTAAGACTACGTCTCTGGATGAATCTTTCAATAACAGATAGAGCACAATAAATACTGTTAATAAAATAACCAACATATTGCAACAAAGCTAATAACTTATACATATATTAATGGTATACAATTTGAACTAAAAACAGTTAATATATACAATATTTCTGCCCTTCCTTATGTTTTCATGTAGTGAAAGGTTCATCCATATTATCATTTAATAAATTACTAGCTTCATTAAGCTGACAGGCTAGTAAAGACAAATTCTGATTGAAACTTGTTAACTTCTCAATGTTGTTTTCCTACAAACCATAATCTAAATGATATACTGATAAAAAATTACCGAATCCAAGACTAACTCCATAAGTCTTTTTCGGAGATTGAACGAGCTTGTAGCTAAAGACTGACTAGCTAAACAAAAGTCCAGTGACATAATCGTTTCAACTGCTTTTCTGAAATGGAAATAGATTACGCAACTTCCTTCACTAACTTGTGAGACGTAAGTGAAATTGGTAAGTAAGACTCTTCCTTATCCATTGTAACTAGATGTTTAATTAGGTCATCGTGTTTACTAATGATGTTTTCAAAACTTCTAACCAATAAATCCAGCAATTGGTATAGCTCCGAACTTTCATGATAATATGACGACTTTGAAACATCACTTTTAACAATATTCTAGTGAGTTAAAGTATCAGTTGGATAATCTCATAACGAACTGATATCAGCGTAAGTTCGTTTGAAACTAAATTGCTAACATCAAGAAGGGGGTTCGGAACTGAAGCTTGAAAATCTTCATCTTGAATAACGGGAAATCCCTTAATTCAAAATCGGAAAATATATTAGTTAGACATGAACACGGAAAATGTTTGAAGTGGTCAACTCATTGTCCGCCAACCACGTCTAAAACAGAATTGAAGCCATTTTAGAGTAGTACGTATTGAATTGAAAACGTTATTTAACAAATCCTTCCACAGTTTACAAAATTGAAATTTCATTGAACGAAATCTAATATAAAGAATACCAAGCTAACAACACCAGCTAACATCCATTTAACAGAAAATGAAAGTCTTATAGTTTTAATACTTAGAGAAAATGATAAATTAAGATGAACATTTCGCGTAACTTTTAACATTTGTCCAAAATATCGTAGTTATTCCGTTTTTAAGGTTTATTCACTTTACACAGGGGTAAAACAAAAGAATAGTTAACTTTAACTGGACCCTAGTTCATTTTAAAATATGTAATCATCACAATATAACTAAGCAGTGGTTAGCATACTATGCTATCGAATGCATTTTGTACGATGGTCAGTGGCGTTATTTGCCTAGATCATAGTACATGTAGTAGGTAAGAATAAGTAATCCCTTAGCTGATGACTGAGTCTTTACAGGGAAACAAAAATCAGACTACTAGGAAGGACAAAGTGAAAAAGAAACCAAGTGTTCGCAACACACCGCAACAGTCTAACGGAGTACAATGAAAAAATGCGTCTGTTCAACTAGGCATAAAATCATTTCATTTTACTTAAGGTGCGAAACCACTGGTCACTATTACTTGATAAGCCACAACCAAGTAATTTGCACCAGCAGAAAAAGCTCAGACCAACGGTCAATAACTTAAAAGAATGACGAAACATCTTTGCTTTTTATTAATCTACCATGCCAGCCAGCATCTCACATCGAGGTAAACAGCGACCGGGCATACGTGACGTATTTCCCAAAGATTCGCAACCTTATTAGTCGACTCCCCATCTTCACCTAGCATACCGTGGCTAAAACGCTTAACTTCCAACAGGTTTTGTAGAGTTAGCCCCTAAACTACCTAATTCCATTTAAGAGCTTAAGTTGTATTACGAACCACACTGGGACGTAGCTGAAAAGGAAACAAACTGATAGCCAGTTTTGAAGTAAATAAATAAAGACAAACATCTAGGATATTTGTCTGGAGACCAGCTTTAGTAAGCAAATAAACTAGGTATAGTAGGAGCGCATGAAAACCGCTATTCAGAGAGTGAATATGGTAATCGGTACCATCCATCCAGTAGCTAGCTGAGTTACTGAAGCTGCAGACTACCATGCCAACACACTGTAACATATGCGCAACCATGATTAAGAAACGTTTATCACTTCCGTAAGACAGCATGTAACGTGTTTTAGAACTCATTAGATTCTAAACAACTGAAGAAGTAAAAGCTTGCCGTCCATTCCAAGCTGTTAAAGGCTGATGCCCGAACTTCCAATTCTGGGGAAAATTTGACCCATTTTGAAGAAGCTACCAAAGTAAACTTTGAGGAAATGGCACTAAAACCCCAAAATTTCCTCAGACCTGAGGAAATTCCCCAATATTTCGCCAAAATTCCCCTTTAACCTTGGTCAAAATCACTTGACTTTGGAGGTTTCCCAAAAGTTCCCAACCATTTCCCTAAACATCCTTGAAGGTCGTTTGACTTCGGGAGTTTCCCCAAAATACACCAAAATTGGGAGCTCGGGTGGTTTTGACCCAAACACTGATAAAAACCACGGAAGCCTAACAAACGACCAGAGTTCATATATACGAAGTGAATCTTACGCAAGGCACAGAACGGTCTTAATGAAAGCATGCTACGCAGATTCTCACTCGTTCGCCGTTAACATCTTAAGTTGAAAAACCAAGAGCGTTGGGTTAACATGCCTCAAATGGCTGTGGACGGAATAGGAGAAGCTTTCGCTTAACAGGCTTCCGTGTCTAGTAGCAGAGGATCACCAAATCCTCCAGGCAGGAACCTAGGTATGTTAACAATAAAAAAGGAAAAAGAAATTGGCAAATCATAGTATGATGCTGTCCTTGGTCCTTAAGAATAGGTCAAGTTGCCTCTTGAAGGACTCCCGGGAAGTCGCTTGGACTAGCTCGGCCGGCAGCGAGTTCCAGCATTTGACAACTCTTGAGGAATAGAAGTTATGTCTACATTCCGTTTTGCTATGTTGTGTCTCTAGTTTCTGGGTCTTACCCCTTAGGTTAGTGTTCGAACTAAGCTTAAGTAGGTGTTTAAGAGGAAGCTATGACGAAGATACATTCATTTGCTTCAAAATCTATTATTAGTACCCAAAATCTTTGCTTACATTTTCATCACTACTGTCATCAAGCCCCTGCAGTAGTTTTTTGGCTAGGGTCATCAGGGTTTGGACCCAAGGTCACGGAAGGGCATCCATATTGCCCGCACCTGACAGCAAACATGACTTCTCGTTACTTATCCTGATGGTTTAGTGTTCACTAATAAAACGTTTTTTCCGTTATAAGAAAAGTTGGTTAGCTTATTTGTGGTTATCATTGAAGCAGGTAGTTACATACTAGGAGATGATAAAAAGAGACTGAAGATTCCGTCATTACATGCCACATATTTCTGACGTTCTTACTAGCTGCTCGTAAACCAAACAAGCTGCAACCTTCTAAGTAGATTGGCGGTTAAGCGACACGTACATGCACACGAATCGACAGTCTAAGAAGTTAAGCGAACCTCGTGTACACTGATAATGATATGGTTGCAACTACCCCAACGCTGGAAACGGTTAGCAACTCAATCATAGACATAAGTTTGAAGTCATACTTCTAGTAGTAGGAACTTATGTTCTCTATATGTAATCGCTTTTCTACTTTTTTCAACGACAATCTGAACCGAACTTCGGCCACTTTCGTCTAACCGATAATCCTTACTTTAATGTCTAAACACATTAAGTATTCAACACCGCATTACCAGCCTCTTAGTAAAGATCAAGTGCATCTTATCCATTCGTCCATATGTATAACTGTATGCTGCATCATTCCTTTTCCATGAAACTTATTTGATTACTGCAATTACCACTTTACTCCCTGTACTGTATGTCAAAACATATAGTTTAGAGCTAGTCTTTATCAAGGATGCATTCTTGTTCGTCACATCTAGGTAAGTTTCACTGTCCTATAATGAACAATCATATGTGATGGTATTTTTATCATGCATTAGTAAGAATTTGTAAGAAACGAGGTCGAGCGCATCTTCCTCAAACTAAACGAACCACTCTGGGCCTCCCGTCCAAAAAGGAGTGCAACTCTACGTAGCTCATCTTCGCAGTCGCTATTCTCTTCCTCTGGTAATTCTACAAATGCATACTCAGCGATAACTTGATACATCAGTTTATGACGCTAAAGACAACGTACACTGAATTTGCATTTTGTGAATATCACCCATCAATGCAGTTGTCATTTTACAACTGGATTATTCGTGTCCCATATAAGCTCCATGTAAGTGAATTCGAATATATTAGTCGCTGATAGACGCTATTTACCCTGCTATGGCTTATTAGAACGTCTTCATATTTCACGGTTCTTTATTCCAATATCCAGTCGGCACCATAGAACGATTCCCGTTATAATCTGCCTTACTTAGTTTCACGATTTACTCAGCTGTCATACCCACCGACGATTTGCTACTCTTTCTTCATGGTATTTCGGAACTCTCATACAAACATGTTAATTTATCGTTCAGATAGTCACGATATAAATGAACGTTAATTTTTTCCCGCTTACTAATTTACTCATAATCACATGCTAGCATTTATATTAACCAACATAATGTCGGTTAGGTCCGATTTTCCTATGCTCTATCTGGTTATCAAATGTTTACGAATTTGTCTTTTTAGCCACTTCAAAGTCAAAAAACAAGAATCTTTTTTAAATAATTCAGTCAGTTTTGAAGAATTGCTCTACCGTTCGTATAAAATGGACAGACGCCAAAAAGTGCAATCGCACGTGATGGATATTCGGTTCCACATAAATGTTTGATTTCGCAGAACTCACTGGTAGTTTGGAAAGAAATACTAATAGCGTAGACCTCTAAGTCTTAAATATGCATTAAAAAAGAAGCGTAACTTGAGAAATAATATCGATATTAACCTGCCAGAAGTTGAAATCGCCACCCAACTCAATTAAATACATTGCCTCCAGTCTGCGATAATCGTCTTTGTTAACTTGGTTCGTAACCGCAGACTCTCAAAGTGTCCACCGACCAGGATTAACCAAAACATAAAATAAAAAACAACGAGCATACCCAAAGTCGACCCGTGGGACAGAATAGGCTTTTCGGGGTCAGCGGTGTAGTCAGAGTCTAATTGACTAGCCGTTCGTTTAGCTTGACGGTCGAACGCAAATGTAATCAGGAGGCTATATTTCCTAAATTCACTGAAAACCGAGTTTTTGACCTTACAAATTTGCATATCCTGCTGGTCATACGTACCGGAAGTAATCGATCGATATAAAAAAATATTACAGTTAGACCTGCTCTAGGCGGTATAGCCGATTGCCTATTAAATAACCCAGCAGTCAGGGGGACGAAGGTTTGAGTACGCACGTAGGCAGTACCCTGTACACAAAATTCGCATGGGGATACGGTTAAACGCATGTACAGGCCGGATTAGCACACAGGCTGATGAATTTAAACATAAGCTTGACCAAAAGAAACTTTTTCTTCCGAGACGACTTGTGGGACTGCAGTTAGGAATATGACGAGTTTTGACATGTACTTTGTATAAGAAGTTACTGTAGTTAGTTTTTTACGTTTATAAACATGTAGCAAAGGTAATTGGAACTAAGAAATATCAAATAATTTTTTAATCTTATATACTTTATCTGTAAAGAACACATTTTTTCATAGTAGTATGGTGTAGTATAAAGCTATTAAATATATTTTATACCAAAAACGCTTTACGAATGGTTCATATGAAGTATATACGGCTAGTCTAAGTGGAAATACATACATGTTAGGAAGTGTCAAAAAATGGCAAGCCATCCAGCAAAATAGTTAAACTAGACTGGATTATCTTGAGAAATTAGATCACCAAATAGATTCGACGTATATAAGACCAGTTATTACAAGTAGTAATGGTTCAAAAGCAACTAGATTAAACGCGCGGTATTCAAACCAGTTCCTGGGTTACGTGTTGTGCCATCGACCTTGTTACGTTTCTGATTTGATGAAAATCAAGGAGTCTAGAAAAATACTTGGCTTTCAACGTATAAACAATCTGAAATAAGATTAGGACTGCAGGAACTTTAAAGCTTAAAATCACCTTAATTTTCCGGAATATTGTCTTCGTTATTTGGCGACGGGACACGAAAATTGAAAATTAGGCAGACAATGGTCGTAAGAAACATATTACGGGATAGTCCATAGTTTGAAATATGGTGAAATGCTTAGTAAAGAAACGAGGTGAAGAATTTGTCTCAGATAACCATTCATCCTTCAGTCACATCGTTAACTAATACCTATTTACGTCGTCGAAAGGCCACATTTGCTAGAGCTTATAGTTTTAACAAGCTTATTTCACTGGAGCATGTAAATGACACCAAAGCTTAATAATAAACCATCGTATCAATAATTTAATGTAGATGACCTGTTATTATTATTATCGATTGAGCTAGTAAGTTATGAGTAATAATCAACGTTACAATAAGATAATGCAAGGGAGCATTTATCAGAGTACTAATAGAATAATAGGTTAACAGGAGTAAAAATCAATCGAGAAAAGTAAAGTGAAAATAAGGATTAATAAGAAGCTTACCAATCCAGAATTATGGTCTACTTAGTTATTAGTACTGCTCTAATAACAGACCGTATCCTAAAATTGTAGATTTGTTATGACGTGACCACCTAATCTATGAAATCTTACATGGAATTTGCATAATTGTCTACAGTGACTCGTCCTATAGCAAGAATTATGAAGAACACATTTAGACTGGAGATAGAACCATATATTTAAAATGAATAAGAGATAAGTTACACAAGAATAACCACGCCTGCAAGGCTGAGCCATGCCATCCGATGAATTGAGTTAATCCTTTCCGCCTTCTCCATTGTTGGTCTTCTCTCTGCGTCAAATTTTAAATATATGAATTCCGAGTTATCTCGTGTTCAGCTTTGACGATTGTGTGGTTAGGTCCTAATGCTACTACAGGCTCATCAACTTAGTTTTGATACTTACTCCACATCTTATATCCGTAAGAAACCAGACTGATGGTTGGAGCAGGAAATAAGGCTGGCTCGTTATTGAATTTATCGGTTTTGATTTCAGCGACCTAAAGTGTGTCGTCTCAGGGCTGTCGTTTCATGTTTAAAGTCTCTCAGATCGATAGTGTGTATGTAAGATAGCTTAATTTAGTGATATGTTTGACTTTAGGAGACCTGCAAATTTCAGGAAACCCCGAGTGACAGATATCCATGTACGTCGTATGTTTTTGTCCTCCTATCAGCTGAAGGAAACCTGCGTTGCACGTTTTAACTGTCAACCTACAGCTAGCAGTAGGTAGAATAATATATTTCAGCATTTTGTGATTGCCATAACTTTCCGTCTATTTAGTTGGAAATTATGTTTGCTAAATACTTCTAAGAGGGTTTTGGCCGACTAAATCGATATTTCTTGGCGGAAAATCTTTCAGTATTCAACGCAGTATATTAGGTAATATACGGTCGGGGATAAACCTCACGTTTGCCAGTCATCGAAGTGTGTCGTGCTTAGTAATTGCCGTTATGTTTTCGTTTATCTAGTCAATCAATTTGAATATTTCGAAACAACTTTTAATATATGAATAACTGAAGGTTTGTCTTTTGACACGTGATTTTCCTCCGTATTGACTGACCGTTCTGCACTTGACACTTCCGGAGTATTATGAAACGACATTTTCGCCTTAGAAAGCTTTACATTATTCATGTAAGGTAGCAGCAACAACAGATAACGAAACATGCCCTCCAACATGGATTACGACAGTGCGAATATTAATTCCTACTTTGCTTTGGTTGGTCGCCAGGTACAAGGTCAAAATCGAGAATAAAATGTGAAGTTTGTCTCCACCCTCTGAATATAAGAAACACAGTGTAGGATTCTCTCTTCATTTACGAAAAGTCAGTAGAATATGGTTCAAATCGACTTTATGAAAAATACTGGGCCACAGCAACATCACGAATTTTGCTAACAAAGGGTTATGTGGTTCCAACCCAATTCATGAACATTCTGATCGGAAAAAATACTACAAATGAGGTCTGCTGTATGCCAGGCGTGAAAGCTAAAGATTGGCCTATCAAATACTTGGTATTTCAAGAAACCTGAACAGTATAAATGACTGTTATTGAGTGGTTTTAGTATCATATTTTCTATCAAATACAAATCTTTCTAGTCATGTACTTTTGAGTGAGATATTCTGTTTATCCTTAAGTTATGAAAGTGACTGTGCTTGTAGAGAAGTTTAAGTACGACGAATTTTTAGAATACTTTAGAATTTAGGTAGATTCTCAAGATGCTAAAGGTATTTGGAGTTTGACAACACTTTAACCAGTAACACCCTCTACTATGAATCGTGCCCACCAAGTGAAATCAAAAGACAGAAGCGAGGAGATCCGAAGGTGTATTTGAAAGGCCATCAATATTTCGAGGATCGACTGATCTAATCTGGCTAGCGACTGTAGGGGATGTTGGGCATGGCGTTCCCACTCTTGATCTGGTGAGGATGCATAACAGAGCGCCTTCAGCTAGGCAAGTTCATTAAAACTATTGAGGTCAGCATCCAATGTCGGAGACTTACAGAGCTATTTATTTTGGGGACCTATTTAGTTTCAGTTTCAGTTTGGGAAGGACAGGAGGCTCGATGGCCTATGTTAGTCCTGACAATGGTGGTCTCTCAGTTGATCCAACTTTTTTTTGAAAGAGTCGACGGATGGAGCCTCAACCACGTGCTGAGGTAGTGAATTCCACTCGTTGATGATTCGATGGGAAAGTCGATAGTCAGCTGACAAGTAATTTGTTCTCGGCTTATGAACTTTTTTGGAGTGTCCTCGTAAATTCTCTGTTTTGGAAGACAAGAAAAATGAGGGCATGTTAGGTGCAAATTTATCACTAAGCAATTTGTAGACTGTAATCAAGTCGCCTCTAGTTCTGCGATATGACAACGGGAAAAGGTTCAGCTTGGCCAGTCGAGATTCATACGGAAGCTTCGCTATTCCGGGAACCAGCTTAGTCGCCGTTCTCTGAACCTTTTCCAGAAGCTCACTGTCTTTTTTAAGCAGGGGCTAGCCGCTTGTATGCAGTACTCAAGTTTAGGACGAACGAACACTGTATACAAAGTCAAAAACGTTTTAGTCGACATGACTAAAAGCCCTACGTATTGACCATAACGTTCTAAAACTTTGGCGGCTATTGCACGGCAGTGTGCAGTAGTCTTTAAGTCTTGACTAACGATAACTCCTAAGTCATTATATGTCTGGACGACAGGTAGCTCAGTGTTATTCATCGTGTATGTATCTGTGCCTTGATGACCGATATGCATCACAACACACTTGGAAGTATTTATCGGCAACTGCCATGTTTGAGACCATTCAGATAACTTCTTCAGGTCATTTTGAAGTTCTAAGCTATCACTCTTACATCGTATCGTTCTCCATATCTTGACATCGTCAGCATATAGCAAGACCGATGATGATAGGAGACAAGGAAGGTCATTTACATACAAGAGGAATAGCACTGGCCCCAAAACTGTACCCTGGGGCACTCCACTAAGCACAGTTTCCCAGCTAGATAACTTTGAGTTCACCCTTACTCTTTGTTGACGCCCAACTAAGAAGTCTTTTATCCACATCAATAAATTGCCTCCAATCCCGACTTTTCTTAACTTATATAACAGCCGGTTGTGCGGAACTTTATCAAAAGCTTTACTGAAATCAATGAAGGCGACGTCTACAGGTAGCTTTTGGTCCTTAAGAGCGCACCAGCTTTCACGAGCCACTAATAAGTTAGTGAGACAAGAATAACCTATTCTGAAGCCGTGCTGCTTCTCCGAGAGGATCCGGTTTTTATCGAGATACTTAAACAGCTCCTTCCGAATAATCTTTTCTAAGATTTTAACAACCACACTAGTTAGGCTAACGGGGCGGTAGTTCTCAGGTTTGTGTTTCGTACCTGTTTTGAAGACAGGACTTACTATGGCGTTTTTCCATCTTTCGGTAAACGACCCTGCGTAACGGATAGGTTAAAGCATGTACTTAAAGGGCTTGCAACGAAGTTAGATAATTCCTTCAGTAGCCTAGGATGTAATTCATCGGGCCCCGTGGATTTACCTATGTCAAGCTTATTTAGCAGACCAAAGACATCGAGTTCTTTAATGGTCACGCTATCCAGTGTATGTATGGGGGATCTGTATACGCTGACGGGAAGGGCGCTTCTATGGTATATACGTTGCTAAAGTAGTTCGAGAACACTTGAGCCTTACCAAAGTCGTCCTCCACTAATGATGAAGCAGTACTGTCTCCCCATAGAGCAGGAATATTTCCTTTTCTCCTTGTCCTTTGGTTTATATAGGAATACAAGCGTTTAGGACATTCTATGGATTCCTTAACAATTTTTCTTCGTACAATTTTCTAGACTTACGGAGGGTCGAGGCACAAGTATTCCGAGCCTTTCGATACTGAGATTTTGACTCATCAGTCCCCAGTAACCTAAATCTATCCCACATTTTCCTTTTCTTACGGAGAAGGATACGGACCTCCCTACTGAACCATGGTGGTGAGTTTTTCGGCCCCTTTGGTATAGTCCAAGGGATGTGAGGTGTGGTAACTTTTAAGTATGATTTCGAAATGCGTCCCAGGCCGTTTCAATGGAGGACTCTGGGTCTATTGTCCAATCTATTAACGATGCTGAGTGCATGATGTCTGGTATGTTTGCTTTCCAGACGTTGGGTCTGGACTGGACTGACGCGTCCTCATGACTGGCAGTTATATGGAAGTCGAAAGTTAAAACTGCGTGGTCACTTTTACCTAAGGGTGGCATATGATGGAGGTTCGCAACATCATCCTCATAGTGAGTCAGTATAAGATCTAATAAGGATGATTCAGTGTCCGGATCGTACCTTGTCGCTTCTTTCACATGTTGCACTAGAGCACATGTGATAACCGCATCAACTAGTTCCTGTCTAAGGAATTCTCCGACGATTTAGTTCGCAGATTTTCCCAGTCTACCATAGGTGCATTAAAGTCCCCTAGGATTAGACATCGACCACTTTGGGACCAAGTATTGAGACTGCTTAACAGGATCTCATTTGCCTCACAGCTTGGACTGCGATAGACCAAACCAATCAGCAGCTCTTGTCCCTTGCATTTTAAGCGAAGACTAACTAATTCACACGTCCCACTCTCATGGGATACACTATCGATAATGGCAAATGGGATAGCATTCCTAATGAATAGAGCTACTCCCCCTCCTTTGCGCTTTTGTGTTCTGTCGGCCCTTACTAACGTAAAACCCTCGAAATCAAGTTCCATACTATCTATAGCCTGTGTCAGCCAGGTTTCTGTTACTGCGATTATGTCTGGCTTTGTAGAGTCAATCTGTACACCTAGTTCCGATCGCTTATTAAATAAGCTTCGTGCCAGCGTCTAACCTTAGTTGTAGTTCTTTCTCAACTTCCCGTCTTTTAACACGGTCTGTCAACTGCAAGACCTTGCGGATAAAGACTCCTGAACCCTTTAATTTGTGTCCATTCTGTAAAATTAGGTCACGTTCGTTCGAACAGTTGAATACTACTTTAAGCAGTCTGGAATGATTTGGTTTCGAGTTTGCTAGACTCCCTAGTCTGTACACCTATAGCAAGGTGACCCCGGTCATATTTTAAGGCATGAGTTGATTAAGCAGCTGCTTAATCAGCACAATGTCATGCTCAAAACAAGCTTTGGGTTCAGAGCTCTCGCTCTCTTTGATTCTATGAAAAATAGCTGATCTGTCGCTATGATCAGCTTTCGATTTTTCAACTACTTTTACGGAGGCAGGGTTCTCTTTTGTATCCCTACTTTTCTTCCTCAGAACCTGTACCCATTCGTCAATGGTGCAGGGAGAAGCAACAACAGTTGCGTTAAGTCTAGTGTTGGATTTTGGGAGGTTGTCGACGACCTGAGAGGTCGGGTTATGCTTACCGCTTGAAACTGATCGAGCCTTGCGATTGCGGCTTCTAGGCGTTTCCTGTGGGATCCCATCTGGGAGACGGGGAACAGAAGAACCTACTTTCCTCGAGATGGCGTTTAAGGCAGGCCCCTTTGGAGTCTGCTTTTCCTTCTTTGACTGGCGTGAGTCATCTATCACCGAACTAACCTTAGTTTCCTTCACATTGATTTGCTTGTCGACAGATCGAGTGCTGTTTGACGCGTTCCGACTATGCTTGCTAAAACACTTCTTTGCAGCATCAGCCAGTGAGATGGCCTTGGTTAACAAGCTGTTTGCATCCGAGCAGCACTGTTGACAAAGCCATACACAACCCTTCTTACTGAACCGTTTGAAAGCAGCAGGCGTTAAGTTCGTGCAAACTTCGTGGTACCAGCCTTTGCACTCGTCGCACTGCATGCCGCTCTCAACAGGATAACGACAACCCGGTCGTTGGCAACTGCTTTTTTACACTGTCCGGTCATTTAGAAGAGGTTCTTTTTCAAAATGCGATGATACTCAGAAACAGAAAAAAATCAATGACCAAAAAGTGAAGAGCTGTAGATTGCTAGGGCTAAAAGTACTAACAGAAATAGTTGAAAAAGAGGTACTCAAGAGTACCAACGACAAAACTAATTGACAGAACAGTAAAAACGATACTCCAGTCGAATACTTTAACTGAAATAAACTCAATTAAAGTGAAAACAGTAGTCTTGATACGTAATAAACGATCAAAACAAAGAAATTTACTCAGCGATGAAAAATACCACTGTCCTTTTTAAATACCGCCACAATTCAATGAGGTTTTGAGTGACACTAATCTGAGACGGCACGGAGTCTGTCGTTAGCGATAGAAAAGGCCGCGGAGGCCAACTAAATTGATTCAACTTGATTTTGTAGCGATCTAGCATTAATGGCTAAGCGGTTCTCCTCATTATCAAGGCAATCACAATATACTTTTTAGGTAATTATGAAGCACTGAATTTCGCATTAAAATTTTTGAAATGCAGTTTGGTTCGAAAACGACCTTTTTCATTCTAACTATGATTGGCTTTAATGAGATGTGAATTGTGACTAGTGAACAAAGCCTTACGATATAGTAGCTTAGATGAATGTCTGCGCTATGTTTGTCTGAAGGGCGGGAGAATTGCGATCTTTTTTGCTATACGGTCGTTTAAACTATTTGGCTAGATGAGTGTTATATGCATGCATCATTGCTCTTCGCTGCTCCAAAGAACTGTCGACTCTGTCAATTTACTTCAAGGCCTTTCGAATCGTGATGAATCTGCTAGACATGAAGCAGCTGTTACTATTCAACGTATATTTGATTCGTGGTATTTTGGCTTCGGTAGCCCAGCTGTCGCTGGTTTCTTAGAGACTGTAGCCAATGATACCGGTGGGGCTACTCTTGATACGTCTATGCACGGGCTGATTACGGAGCAGATCCCAGATCTTTTAAGAATTCTGCATACCGCCCCATCATCTGATATACGGTCTGCTGCTAGAGATATCTTGCGTGATTTAAAGGTTGTGTTGTCGAATTTTCCCCTAACAAGTTTTTAGATTCAGAAGGGGTTCAAAATTCCGAATACCGTTACATCCTCTCCTAGTTTTATTCAGTCACTAAACGTAATTTCAGTTCCTAATTAATAATTCGATTCTAGATGGACCATATGAAATGCATGGTTGGTGAACCAAATGAAGGGGATCCTTTTTACACTGTATGTATCCATTGTTTCACCTAAAGGTTTTTATTAAACCGGATTTTGTTCACCTATTCTTGTCTTCGGTTCATGCAACGATATGCTGATTTTTTAAAACCGGTATAATTCACTGTCTGTTTGGTGTTCTATTAATCAAGGAAATAATCATTACGTTTTAAATTGTTTTAGAATGGTTGACGTTTGTCGAGAGCACTGATCTCCAATTTTTCATTGTAGGGCAAGGGGTCGCTCTTCCTTTTCATTATGTTCCAAAATTTCTACTTACACGGAAAAAGATGACTTTTCTCTTATAATTTTCAAGTGACATTATTTGCTATATCAGACTCGAACTTTCCAGATCGTTTATTCGATTGTTGACACATAATCTATTCTAAAATTGCGTGATACACGTATATCCATCTTGTGAGCTTCAAAATTCTATGATCTATTCAACTGGACGCGTTTGCCGACTGCTTTAATATATATTTATCAATATCCACTCCTTTTAATTACAAATAATCATCAACATCTGTTTGACAGTTTACTTCACGGATTAAATCTCCACTATCAAGAAGTCAGTGATGTACATATATCATACCAGTCAGTCAGTCAGTCAGCTAGAACGTAGGACCAGGCACACATATGTATCGGTCCAAGTTGCCATACCGCATTAGCACAGTAAGATGAACATCGGATTAATAGAAGTGGTTAAGTCAATGGTGGTAATATATAAAAGAAAGATTGCACTCAAAACCGCTGATATATCATACCGGTGTATTTAGATTACACATTTCCTATACTCGCTTTAATTTCACACTTGCATAAATCTGTCACTGAACAACGTTGTACCTACCTTCCTAAGAGATATTAAGTAGCTGTCATCAACCATAATATGTTAAGGGTACTCTCGATTTATTTTTTGAAGTTGACATCAAATTCGACCAGAGGTTCTTCCCTTAACAAAATATCTTGTAGGAGCTTAAAAATGTTCCAACTTTCCATTGGGAGCTAAGTGTAACTTAGATTTCGTGACGAGCTTGCTTAGATTCATGCATCTTAGTAAATTCAAGGATGGTATGGTTTCTCATGGAAGGTTATTGGGAGTTATCAATTGAAAGGCTCATTCTGAAAAGACTTAATTTTATCTAGGGTGATTTGTAAAGCATGATATTTGATCTTTGGTTAAGTAAAGGAGATGATCACTACGTCAATATTTATTAAGATCCACTGAATACAGACTAAATTGAAATATTAAGAATTGAGTGGTTAACCATGTGATATTTCATCTAATTCCACTAGACTTCGTTCAACATACGTTGTTTGTTGCGCAATATGAGACTGTGAAAGTAACAGGTGCACAACTTACCGTACATGTTATGTATTTCTAATTCACGTTTTTGGAAACTTGGAGCAACTAAAATCTCTGCCTCGTAATAATGCTGCATACTTCTGTCTTTATTTTCTTTCTTCGCATGAAATTCGGTACCTCGGCTTGTATTTTTGATGTGGGTTTTCCGTTCATTCTTAGTTCCATTACAATCAAACAGTACATGCAGCTTCAAGCACATTCCAAGTGTATTTTATACGTTTTTTGCATGCAGCCGGTAGCCACCAAAACTGCTGCTTTCGGTTATGGAGTGTAACGTATTCCTGGCAATCTTCACTGTCAGTCTTCTTTCTCAAGCACGTTTCTAGGACTGTTAGATGCTTTGATTGCATACAGTTTAGACCTCTGGTTTCTTAACAAATAAAGGACACGTAGCTGAAGATTTGCCTTTTCTAATTAGTCGAAAGTAAAAAAAAACAAGACTTGGAAAGCTCTGCTTTAAATAATTGTTGAATCTATTTTTGTTGTGGTTTGCTTTTGTGAGAAATCACCAGTTTATTGTTCTTACATAAATCACTCCAGGTATCATAGAAAGTTACACCGTGTTTGTTTTCTTACCTTCTTTGCAGACTTATATATTGTTTCGTGAGTATTGGTTTCAATGGGGACGCCTAAATAACTACATCAATGTAATGGGGTATCATCCTGAATATCTTGAATGTTACATGAAACTAAAGGATCATCTTTTTCGTGGTGACCTGCCATTACCTTATCCAGATCGTTACTACATAGCCATTATTGTAAGTTTCATTGTTTAAGGTAATCATGACTGGTCACGTTCACTGTGTGAGATTTAAATGAGTCAAACAGTATCTATATCAAGTGGTGCTATCACAGATCATATTCAAGGTTTCTAGGGACATGTATCTTGCAGTTTTGAATAGCTGTTGTCTAGTACTTAATAAATAATTTAATCAGGGTGTTTGTCCAAGTCTTATTGGTGCTATTCACTGTAATGAGTTCATCACCGACCTGTTTCTTTCGAATACTATAATACAAACCATTAACTTACAGTTCCCTTGGCAGGTGATTTTTAACTGTACGTGAAGGTGTGTATACCAATCAATATTGTTTACCACAGTACTCATTTTTTGTGACTAAACATTAAAAGCTATTGACATAGTGGTGCGAACCTACGCAACAAAGGGTAATATCAAAAGGAAAATGCCTGATTCACGATCATATCATCACTGATGTTTCCCCTAATTGTAAGTCCTATGTTTGCAGGTCTGGATTACTATTTTCTGCGTATCAAAACAGAATGGTACGACACCATGTGTAAAACAAAGGAATGCTAGTCAGAGACTGTTAGTTTGTTTATCTTTTTTCCGGAAATTTTTGACTTCGGAGACAATGAATATCGATAGATCTAGTGCTTCTTCGAAACTTGTATTAGGCTTCTCTTTTTGAATAGCAATTAAGACACGTTAAAACTGCTTGTCAATAAAGTAGTTAAATATAATTGATTCGTGCTACATTAACGTGTTGCTCAGTTTATCATTTTCATACTTATTTAATTTTCTCTTGTCCATCGCGGCTCTTTGAATGCACGTTTTCCCAACTCGACCTTTGCTTTTGGTTAACTCAGTGTTGTGAACGTATAACTTTCAGTCGTCCCATCTTGAATCGAGGTGTAGGTAGTCGGTAATATCACTAACCTCGTCTTAACCCAGTGGACAAAATGGACATATATTATTTGTATTATAATACACTTTAAAGCCTTAAAATCATACTGACCTACATGGCATGCCATGTGAGTGATTGACTTCAGCAATTGAAATCTTTGTTTTTTTTGCCTGGTAAGTCGCATAGCATCTTTTAAACACTTGTGACAAAAGGTGAAAGATCTAACCTTTGTAGCTATCGATAGTGAACCAACAACAGCATTGTCGATCTGGTTTTCAACAATCTTCAGGTCATAAAAGAATATTTACTAACTCTTTACTGTTGATATTATCCAACAACCTCAGGCTTAGATTTTGCCCAACCAACAAAAAATTTGATCAAGACAACCACTTTTATCGCTAAGCTGTGCTGCAAAACTGCAGAGATCTCCGATATGTTTGCAGATTGACCGTTCTGCATAAACAAGCGCAAATTAAGTTTATTGTAAGTGTATTCAACTATGAGTTTGGCATCAAAATGCAGTTATTTTCTATACCGAAAAAAGAGCAAGAGACGTGAGTAAATGTGCTTGGATTAGAATTGATATAGCTTTATCAATTATGGTAGTTAACAGTGGTATTAACGACTAACTATTGTTCGAAAGTGGGTATGTCACAATAATGGTCAACAATTCGTACAACTATCACATCGTGGATTGACTGGAGCTAAACCTGTACACCATTGAATCCCGGCTCAATGGTCCAGAAGCTATGCGTTCACTTGCGGAATCTAAGGTCCAGGGTCGTTGATTACTACTGGTAATGAGTTCAATATTGAACGGTCATTCGGTGTTTACGGGTTTCCGAAGGTTGTCTAACTTAGATCTGTTTGTGGTTTAAACGGAGATATCACATAATTATTAGGTTCTCCCCACTTATTGTCTATTCTCCCTAAACTGTTTACTAGCATTCTCTTGCTTCATCCTGTTCCCAGCCTCAGAACAAGTCGTAAATACGTCTTTGTATTTCAGTGTTTTAAAATTGAGTACTTTTCCCGCACTTCAGCTGGAAAATACAAAAAACTTTAGTTAAATGCATTTTAGCTTTCAGATTTCTAGCCTGGTCCTAGAACTAAATAACTGCAATCTGCAAAATTGTAAATTACCATTATCATGTATAGATCTTTTCGTCCAGCCTTTAATACTCTTCTACTCATAATATTAATCCTGTTGTTTAAATATTGACTGTATTTTAGGCAGCTGCACAACAACGGTGTATTTACCTAGTTCTTTTTTTTGTGCGTCAATTCATTAGTTCTGGTGGCCCTTTGTCGTGGTTACAGGGAGTACAGTACGGGCCCCCAAAGTGGCGCCAATTATGTGGATTAAACAGGGATCTCTCAGATCGTCCTTGGAAGATTACAGCTGTAGGTTTGTCATTATATATCTGTTCACGTCACGCTTCTTATCTAAGTCTTTAGTTTAATTTTAATAAAGAACGTCTCTGCAAAGAATCACGAGATCGAGCTTCACTTTTTAGCGCTGGTGTAATTTTTGGTGATTCTGTGTCCAGTACTCATTCACCATATGAATTTTTGTTATTTTTTGGAGTTACATCAATTTACGATTTCTATAAACTTTGGAGGTTAGTTCAATTCGTAGGTAATATCCGTTATGAAATTAGTTGAACTATCATTAAAAACCAGGGAGAACTGGGGAGTTGTTTCATCTCAGCATGGGACTCCTCATCATTAATCGTCCCGGGTCTCACATGGGACTGAAATCAGGACGTTCTAGTCTCACAGTGAGCGCCTATCCATTAAATTGTGGGTTGGCGTTCAATGGTGCACGTTTCCAACAGTCACAGAGATTAACAATTGAGATTGATGGAAGCTATTTCACTGACGACGTGTCTGAGATTTACGGGTCACAAATTCCACTAGAAATTCAGAAACTCATATAGATGTAAACCAGTAGTGAGCTTATTATTATAGCTTTTATGTGGAGGTCTCGTGGAGATGTTTAATTTGTAGGTAGTATTTGTGACAGATCGACCCCTGTTGGGTTATCATCTTCAAATTCATTTAAGTGCTCATATTCATATAGATTTATGTTTCAATCATGCAGTTTAGGATAGGTCGGAAATGCAAATCATGTTGCACTTACTTCACTTCCGGGAATTATACATAACTTCATGATCCATGAAGCTCATTGTGTTGTTCGAAATTTCGTGATTTCCTACATCTACTTTGGTTAATGGTTTGATTGATAACTAATAAATTCCTAATGTCAACCGTTTTTTTATAGGAGACAGCGTCTCAATAAAATATCTTAAGTTTTCCATTTGATTAACATCAGTACTGGATAATCTGTACTGAATAAAGGTGCGTTGGTCCAAGTTGTCATAGCGCAATAGCACTACGAGATCGAATTAACAAGATGAATAGCAAAGAAATCTTAATAATGTAGTAGCAATGATAATGATAACAACTTATTATTGAGAATATGGTACGAAAATGTATGGTGAGAAAGTATCTCTAAAGGAAAACTGTAACTCGAGATGTAGGTGAAGATAGTGGGCAAGGAGATTTAAACCATTTCGCCTGATTCTAAGCCGTTTCACCAGAAGTCTTTACACCAGTCGCGGTTATTGCTCAAATCCTAATCACGTAGTCTACATCTAAATACTTGGCTCAGACCAACTTTCAGTGACTTCATGCACTGATACCTTATCTTAGTTTAGTTGTCTCTGTTTTTTTTCAACTGCCTATGCTATTTATGCTATTTATAATTCGTGTGGTTTACCCAGAATGAATGTTACTGAGGCAGCAGACGTTAATCAACTTACCACTTTACACTTAGCTTTACGCTTATCGAAGCAGTTTACTTGTATCGACAACTTTGATGATTCTCATCTCTGTAGTCACTTCTGGTCGATTCACTTAAGTAGCAAAGTTGCAAACAGATAGAATTAATCGAGTCAGATACTCGGGTAGCTCATCTCTTCTCTGTCGAATTTAAAAGGAACCAACGTAATGCTGAATCCAAGTGAATCCTTGAGACAGGATTAAAAGTTAGATAGTTTACTTCCTACCAAAGGAAGCTAACGGCATAAATATCATCACAATAATATATGTTTCGGTCACATCCTCTGAAGTGTAAGTATGTTCACATTACATGTCCAACGAATCTTTCAGTGTCATAACTGTAAATGATACGAAAATTCTATTGAAGGTTTTTATAAAGTACAACTTTTTCATCGGATATGTCTACTTTTAGGATTGTTTGAGTTCAACATATATTCTGAACTTTGCGAATACATTTGTGTTTTGTGACTTGAGCAGAGCTCGCACATATTATATGGAACATGTGGTGAACAATTTCTTGTAGACGTATTGTATTAATGCGGCAGTTGGTTGATGGTTCAAGCTCCTTGATTAGTAGCTATGTAGTCCTAGCAAATGTTTCTCAGACCCTCGAGTACATAAAACAATTGTACTTAAATATTGATTTCCATGAACAATCATTTTATTATTAATTTCAATCTGCAATTAGAATTATACCAACTGACGTGAAATATATTTCCAAACTCACTAGGCCTTCTTGTGCTTGAACGTAAGGGTAGGTAAGTTAGTCCATAGAAATTTTGAAATTTCATTAATCTGGGAAGTTGCAATAAATGTCGCCCATGAAGTTTCCCCATTTCTCATAAAACAATATTTATTGTTATTGAAAAGCAACTTATAAATTAAATTTCTTTAATCACATAACTTCCTACTTAATAACAGATATGTTACATTTCCCTCTTCCCAGTGCCTATTTCAAATACTCGTCATCCATTTTACAAAATCTGTTTTACTATCTCTAACAACTCTAGTTATTATCTACTAATCCTTTTCACCCTCTTTAGGATGATATTTACAACTTGACTCATGGAGGGGATTCGAATCCATTAAAAGAAGCATTATCATTGTCTGAATTAATGCATGTTGTTGCTATCCTGTCTCATGTTCATGCTTTAGCTTGTTTCATATTTGGTTGTGGGATTCGTCCTGAAATTGATAATTATGATGGATTAATAAACCTAAATGTAGATAACTGTAATGAAGCATACATATATAACAATCAAACTAGCAATGGAAGTTCCCAAAATAATCTTCATAGTTCTGAAAATGGGGGCACATGTTCCTGTTTAGTTGAACCATGGGACGATCATGTAAGTTTAACTTTCTTGCTATTTGTCTGAGTAAATTATTTTATGGTCGATTTACCCGGTCATTTCATTCTTGATTCTTGTACAAGGGGCGGTACATATCAATCCTGTAACACACATTTTTATCTGATCAAAATTATTTTCAAACTAATATTTGCCAATGTGTTTAGAAGATTTTGTTTTTATTCTTAGTTTGCTCTCAGTGTAAAACAAGACAGAAGGCATGGGGAATGTGTATTAATTGCGAGAAGTTACAAAGTATTTACATAATACATATTAATAACCTTCAATCATCCATGTTCATCTTTCAGTGTGTTCTGCCATCTCAACTGTCCTCTCGTCTGATCTCCAAGTGTCCCACCAACACCGTGCTTTCGATGCACTAAAACTCTTCACTCCGTCTGACGACTTCAACGTCATGTTCCGGTACACACTACTTGCAAACATCCTTGTGAGTAGCATTTACTACATCAGCAGTACATTTGTTACACCTATTCTCATCTGTAACAAGTTGAATAAATGATGGAGTTAGTGATCATTGACTGATTTTCAGTTGTGATTGGCTCACATTTCCTTCGCTTTTGTGGGCCTACTAACCATTTCTTTACGCGGGAGTATTCTCATTATTAAGCTTGTCGTATCGGCTGATGTTTCATGAGACTACGCTTTGTCTAAAACTAATCGATTTTACTTTTTCTGGTTTCATTTCATCTCTGTCATATCCATCACGTTAAAGAAAATATAAAAAGTATTTTATACTCATTCGAAAGTCTATGTTTTCTGGAAACGCTTCAACTACTCCCAACCTTTGCGGTTGTTATATCACTCCTGTTGCTTGGTTGATCTTTTACAATCACTCAAAATCGTAGTAGTAATCTACACCTCATCAAAAACTAACAACTGGAGGCCCTTTTTCCCTTATATTCAACACAGTCGTTAATTCCACGGTGATGTCGAATTTCTAGCGACCTTCAGGAGAAATTTTGTAACCCGATAGTATTTTTAACCCACTCACTGTGTAAAATATCAGTTCTTACTTACTTACGCCTGTTACTCCTAATGGAGCATAGGCCACCGACCAGTATCCTCCAACCCACTCTGTCGTGAGCCTTCTTTTCTAGTTCCATCCAATTCTTGTCCATTTTTCTCATGTCTATCTCCATTTCCCGGTGTAATGCGTTTTTTGTTCTTCCTCTCCTCCTTCGGTCTTGAGGATTCCATGTGAGGGCATGTCTTGTGACGCAGTTGGGTGCTTTCTTCAATCTGTGTCCTATCCACTTCCAACGCTTCCTGATTTCTTCCTCCGCTGGGATCTGGTTTGTTCTCTCCCACAGTTGGTTGTTGCTGATAGTGTCCGGCCAATGGATCCGAAGTATTTTGCGTAGACAACTGTTAATAAACACCTGTATTTTCTGGATGATGGCTTTCGTAGTTCTCCAGGTTTCCGCCCCATACAGTAGAACTGTTTTGACATTTGTATTGAAAATCCTGACCTTGGTGTTGGTTGACATTTATTTTGAGCTCCAGATGTTCTTCAGTTGTAAATATGCTGCTCTTGCTTTGCCGATCCGCGCCTTCACATCTGCATCAGATCCACCATGTTCATCAATGATGCTGCCCAAATATGTAAAGGTTTTTACATCTTCCAAATCTTCTCCGTCAATTGTGATTGGATTGGTGCATGCTGTGTTGTATCGGAGAATATTGCTTTTCCCTTTGTGTATATTGAAACCTGCTGCTGAGGCTGCTGCCACACTGGTCGTCTTATCCTGCATTTGTTGTTGCGTTTGGGATAGAAGGGCCAGATCATCTGCGAAGTCTAGATCGTCCAACTGCATCCTAGATGTCCATTGTATCCCGTGCTTCCCTTCAGATGCTGATCCAGTCGATCACCAGGAGAAAGAGAAAGGGTGAGAGTAAGCAACCTTGCCTGACACCGGTCTTTACCTCGAACGAGTCTGTCAACTGTCCTCCATGCACGATTTTGCAGTTTAATCCATCATAGGAATTCTGTATGATATTGACTATCTTCTGAGGCACGCCGTAGTGTCGAAGAAGTTTCCATAGTGTTGTTCTGTCCACGCTATCAAATGCCTTTTCGTAGTCAATGAAGTTGATGTAGAGTGATGAATTCCATTCAATTGATTGTTCCACAATGATCCGTAGAGTTGCGATTTGGTCTGTACACGATCTATCCTTACGGAATCCTGCCTGTTGGTCTCGAAGTTGGGCGTCTACGCAGTCCTTCATTCTGTTTAACAACACCCTGTTGAAGAGTGATGCCCCTGTAGTTATCACAGTTGCTGAGATCGCCTTTCTTTGGTATTTTGACCAGAAGTCCTTCTTTCCAGTCTTTTGGTACTTGTTCCTCATCCCAAATCTTATTGAAGAGAATGTGGAGTATCCTTGCAGTTGCCGCTACGTCTGCTTTCAGTGCCTCTGCTGGCATGTTGTCTGGTCCTGCTGCTTTGCCACTCTTGATTTGTCTGATGGCCATGCTGATTTCTTCAATTGTTGGTGGGCCAACATCGATTGGGAGGTCCGTGGGTGCTGCTTCGATGTTGGGTGGGTTCAGTGGAGCTGGTCGATTCAAGAGTTCTTTGAAGTGTTCTACCCACCTGTTTTGTTTTTGTTCAATGTTGGTGATTACCTCGCCTTCCTTGCTTTTCACTGGTCGTTCTGGTTTGCGGCGATTTCCAGAGAGTTTCTTTGTCGTGTCATACAGTTGTCTCATGTTTCCTTCTCTTGCAGCCTTTTCCGCCGTCGTTGCTAAATCTTCCACATATTTACGTTTGTCGGTTCTGATGCTCCTCTTCACTTGTTTGTTTACTTCTGTGTATTCAGCTTGTGCCTTGGCTTTTTCTGCTCTTGTTCGACTGGTATTGATTGCTGCCTTCTTGTTCCTCCTTTCTTGAATCTTATCCAGTGTATCAACAGTGATCCATTCCTTGTGATGGTGCTTCTTGTGACCCAGGACCTCATGACATGTTGAAGTGATTGCCTCTTTGATCCCCTTCCAGTTGCTCTCCACAGTAGTTCCTTCTCCATTGAGTAGATCATGAAAGGCCTGGAACTTGTTGCTGAGGACTATCTTGAATTTGTTGAGTTTGTTAGTATCCCGAAGAAAGGCCGTATTGAACTTTTGTGATATTGTCCGCCCCGTTGTCCAGTGCTTCTTGAGTTTCAATTTCATCTTGGCGACCAGCAAGTGATGATCTGATGCTATATCAGCTCCTCTCTTGGTTCTCACGTCTTCCATAGTCCTCCTGAACGTTTTGTTGATGCAAATATGGTCGATTTGGTTTTGCGTAGTGCGATCCGGTGAAGTCCATGTGGTTTTGTGTATGCGTTTATGTGGGAATATGGTGCCGCCTATGACCAGTTTATTGAAGGCACATAGGTTTGCAAATCTCTCACCATTTTCGTTCCTTTCTCCCAGTCCGTGTCGTCCCATGATGTCTTCATATCCAGTGTTGTCCGTTCCAACCTTGGCATTGAAATCTCCCATCAGAATGGTCAGGTCCTTTGTTGGGCACTTCTCGACGATTGACTGCAGCCTATTGTAGAATTGATCTTTAGCGTCTTCATTGTAGTCGTTGGTAGGCGCATAGCATTGGATGATGTTCATTGAAATGCCCTCTTTCTTTGTTTTGAATGAGGCTTTGATGATCCTTGGTCCATGAGATTCCCATCCTATAAGTGCATTTTGTGCTTGTTTGGACAGCATCAATGCAACTCCTTGTGTATGTGGGGCATTTTCTCCATCATGGCCGGAGTATAACAGAAGCTCTCCTGAAGCTAGTCGTTGTTGTCCAACTTGTGTCCAATGTGTTTCACTGATCCCAAGCACCTCTAGGTTGTATCTCCTCATTTCTGCAGCAATTTGGAAGGCTCCCCCGGTGTCCCACATTGTACGAACATTCCATGTACCTAAATAAATGGTTGCTCTGGTTGTCAGAAGGGACATCGGCCTCGTGACTTCCGAAGGAATTCGGCTTTCATCATGAGGCGTCATAACTCTTCTAAATGAAGACCTTCTGACTCCCAGGGCAGAGTTTAAAAGGTTCGAATAATTTTTTCTGGTTAGTGTTTTCTTAGCGAGTTAGTTTTCTGCGGGATGGGGTCGCTAACCCCATGCCCAACCCTCCTTCTTTATCCGGGCTTGGGACCGGCAGTAGCCCCTGGAGGGACTCCAGGCGGAGTTAATATGTCAGTTCACGTGGAACTATTACTGTATTTCGGTTTCACTTGATAAAAATGTTTATTCTAGAGTGCCGATCAATGGCGATCTATAAGTAATAGTAGAAATGTTCCATCAAATGAGCTAAAACCTATTGCAAAATAATACAAAGAATTGAAGTACTACTAACCGACTGAAAATTGCTTCTCTGAAGAAGATTGTTATGTTGCTAGTGATTTATCGGACTTTTCAACATACAATAGCAAAGCCCCTAAATTACCTGGTACGGTGGGAAGAGTCCGCTCTTTCTCTCGAAATGCTCATACAGTGCTACGCGTATACAGCCACTGTCAGGGAAGTCATACTCACTGCCTTCTCATGGCAGGAATGTTGTTTACGAAATTGAGAGTACGAAAAGCGAATATCCGGCGCTTTGATCGGGTTGGTGGACACGGAGGGTCCACCTAAGGGAGCTGGAAAACCATGATTCCTAATCAATGGTGCACATGGGCTCCAGGATCCTAAGGAAACAAATAACATACAAACCTATGGTTGGTCACCGGCTACCATGAAACCGCATCTCCTTACATTGCTCCACTACTTTGTAGATTAGACCTTTAGGTCGAAGGCTTGGGGTGGCCCATTGAGAAAACCACCTGTTTCGGTCCGGGGAACCGCGCAGTATCCCAGCCCTCACGCAAACCGAATGATTTATGTGACGCATATCTGTTTGGTGCCTCCTTGTACTAATGTTTATGTGTTTGAATAAATAAATAATAAATATGTTTCGAGGATATTATAGAGTTTACGATGGTTGTCTTTTGGAGCTTACAGTTACATTTTTATGAGAGTATTTGTAGAATAGAGTATTTTAAACAGATATTTCAGCTTTTGATACTGTATAAGAAATCTACTACCGAAGGTAGCTCTTTGAGTTTCACTGTACTTGTCTGGAAATTAATCCTAATACTATGTAGTTTTAAATTTTGTTTTCTAGAGGATGGCAAAGTTGAGAATATTTAGTAACACTTTACCATGTTGTTCTAGAGCGTATGCCCATTGGTACTTGAATTCCAGATGTATATTCCTAAGTTTTAGTGAGCTATGACTCATAGTTCCCAATCTTTATCTATCGAATAAGATTTTTCATTATTTTCCAGATTTCAGAAAACGGAAATGTAAATAATCAGGACTCACACAATGATGAACCATCTGATGTAGATGGAAAATTAAAAGCTTCCAAATTACTGAAAATCATCCAGACGGAAGATTCAAGTTGGGAAGATGTCGCAGAAGATATTGTTGCTGAACAATTTTTAACCGCTATCATATCTAATAGTCAATGTGAGTTGCTTGTCGACCTATTGAATGTTAGATTCAATCTGTTATATTTCACAATTAATTTCATAATGATTACAGCCTATCCTATTGGCTCAGAACATCAAAAATTTAGCAGTCATGGCATTCCTTTTTTTATTAATTCCACGCGTAATTCTTTAAATTCTAAATTGTCATTTTTGTAACAACTAAGCCGGCCTAAATTATTTTTATCTACCTATAAAAAATGTCAGAGTTATGTTTCTAAAAATGGTTCAATTTCGTGTTTGATAGTTAAATAAAAAACAAAGTAGTAGTTTTAATGTTAAATGAATCCTAGGCGGTTGGCACTTAACTCAATTATCTATCGGGATTAACAGTCTCCAATATCAAGAGCAGGGAAGTATAAATTCTCACCAATACTAGGTAGGTATTTGAGATCTAATGAAATGTAGCGACTGACAATGTTTTCTAAATCATGGTTTATAAGTTGTCAATCATAATACAACCTTTAGTATCTTACATTTGTTGGTTATTTATTCATAGATGACTGTTTCATATTTCTTTTTGTGTATTTTTAATTATGTTTTTTACCGGTTAGTTATTCTTCTATCCTGAAACCTGATGGAAGTAGTGTTAATTTTATGCAAACACAATATTCACTTTAACGTTTTTGTGATTTAGCTTTCCAATCTGTTTATTTGTAAGATTGTAAGTTTAACTTTCAGTTCACCAACTAAAGAATATATCCTTCATCCAAAGACTTTACAATCAGTTCTATTTCACACATTAAAAATCTGTTTACAAATTACAGTCAGTCAGAGTTATTTTGTTTTTCAGTTTATATATCTTCATGACCCGTTCACCTTTCGTTTATCGGTTTCTGTTCTGGTTTAATAAATGTATATTTCTGAAACCAAATCGTAATTTGTAAACTTCAACAGTGGATTCCATATTTTGAGAGAAGATAAATTCTTATGAATAATTAAAACTGTTCGTTTATATTTTATAATCAATTTACTTTTCATACTTAAAAATGACTTACAAAAAATGTAAAGCCGTCTAGTATTGATTATTAATTTTCAGTGGATTCTGAAGCTGTCTTCCCATCAAATAATATGATGAAGCATATTGAAAAACTATCTTATCATCCGCTCATCTCACGTTTCTTAGATTCTCCACAGTCTGGTTACAAAAATTTCGATGCTCGTCCATTTCATGCAACTGTATGTGCAATTGAATCATTCTATTATTTTTATTATTTTTACTTTTATTATTATACCTGTCATGACACACTTTTTTTTATAAAATACAAGTTTGAAATGGGTTCTCGAGTTATTACATTTGAAGAGAATACAATTCGATGGAGTTTATTGCTGGTAGTGTTAAGAGATTCGATTATTCTTTAGGTAGTTCGTGTGTTAAGATTCCAATTTGTGGGGGTTTTCTAATCAACTAACATCAGTTATTTGAAAAATCACTGAAAAACGCGGAACATAGATTAGCAATTGTCTTCTTGTTTAAAACTACTTAGTCATGTGCACTCACTCCTCTTCACTATCATCAAATTGAAAAATTCTTCACAAACCATGTTGTTGCTCATTGCGGATTAATCCCAAGTTAGGTTATTCGATGCTCTTGTGGAAATCTTTGACATGTCCAGTTCAACGATCACAGGTGAAGACAAATTACACACGGGATTTTATGTTAACTTATCTATAATGCCAGCAGACTGGTACTAGAATTGTAAATCATAGGAATCCGTCCAACCTAGTTAATCTACAGGTTTTATTCACGAGAGTCAAGGTTCTAAGATTGATCCTGGTTGGTGTCTTGAATACACTCATCCGGTTAGTTTCGAGCATAGATGATATAACTGTTTAATACCCTTTAGTGTTGTGTAGTTTTTCAATCTGTGATAAAAATCGTCTCCATTTGTTCGCTCCAAAATCAAGCGAATAATAAGGATCATTTAACCATTCAGTTATTTCCAGATGGTTCCTACATTAATATCTCTTGACTTGATCATTCTATCGTTTTTCCGGTAATATAATGTAATCTTCTGAAATCTTCATGTCCCTTTTTTCTCTTTCCAAGTCTATTTCACTGGATTATACTCCTTGAATAACATCTTCGAATTTTAATCTTTCTGATTACTGCTCATACTTTTTCGACCTCTACCACTATGGGATCTGAATGGACAATGGTATCTCTGTGCTAATGTGGTATGGCAACTCGAACTGATGTACGTATGTAAGAAGTTATACGTTATTGACTGACTGAATATAATGAATTGAAATGTCACTTGCAAATGTTTCATAAACATTGACCATTTATAATGAAAGTTTTCGGCGAGAATATAATTTATGAACGAACCAATCAGATATAAGTTAACGAGTCACGAATTTGGGCGCGATATTCATCCATAGATTTGGCTAAATAGAGTTTTGGCATTATGGCTGATATCAGTTTTTGATGAAAACCATAAATTTAATTTTTTAACACTAACCACCAACTGTAAATGAGAATCCTAACTGCTTTATAACCCTCATTTAGTCCTAATCAGTAGACCTCCACTCTCAAGGTCACTTCAGCGTTGCTCGAAGGTCGTCCATAACTTATAGTCATCAAATTTTCTTTACATCATAAATTCACTTTAAAAATAAAACCGTTTGATCAACAAACAATCATAAAAAATGACACTGATCAATTCCTTTTTTTGCAAGACTGGGGTTCAATACTCCTTTTACTGATTTTATTTTCGCTCATACACACAGATGATAGTCTAAAGAAACAGTTTATTGTTATGGTTTTTCGCGGTAAATAAGATGACTTATAATGATGATTACGAACGGTGGTCGCAGTAGTAGTAACAGTCATCTCAGATAAGGGTACAGTTTTATTGACGTATTATTTTTTGGAAAAAGATATGTCTCCATTATCAAATTTCTTAATATTTTGTATATTGGCTTAGTTTATATTTATTGTATCCATTCATAATAAGACCAACTATCTCTTTGCATCATTGTTAACCGCTGCTTTCAGTTCATTGTGTGAAAAAATAAGTGAATTAATACTTCATATGTCTAGAGGCCGAATACCTATGTAAATAAACGATATATAAATATTTACTCAATCGCCGACTTCCCTATTTACTCTTAATATTCATTGATTATTATCATTATTATTACTATTACTATTAATATCCTCACTTTTTTGTTAAATTATGTGAATGACTGGCATGCATCATTTATGTGATTTGATCCTTTACTATCAAAATAGTTCATCTCATTCCCAGATGTAACTATCATTTGTGTAGGTGGTTGGGTGTCTAGGTAAAAACTATTATTGAGTTCTAAACGTCTCATTGATAAGTAACATTTTTACGTGTGAGCTTGACTATGCAAATGACAGGAACGAAGCCATTAAAGCAAAATACCTTGCACCACACCCCTATTAACTCTTTTACCGCTCCAAAAATTGTAAAAGCAGAAGAGAATAGTAGTTTTATTATAACTGGTACTAAAGTAGATAAAGTGAAAAAGGCATAGGTATTCATATGGGTATTTTTGATAACCGCTCACCGATAACACTGGTCTCTGAACATCAAAATGAACGCATAGGGATTCAAAGTTCACAGTAGTGATTAAAAGCACCAATTTTTTCAATGATTCTGGTCAAACTTTCGGGAAATATTACATAAACTAACAGAAGTCCAATTGTTTAAATACACATGTATTCGCACTTCAGGTTCTATGACGTCCATGTATATGTGCTGTGCTCATTGATGTAATACTGTAAACCAGTTTTTTCAATTACTTTGTAAATATAATTGTTTGATTAAATTCAATTTAATCCGATTATAATCTTTTTCTCCCTAAACTCCATATTCTAGGAGTATTCATGGCAAGAAGAAGGCTTACCTCTAGCTGATCGTCTGTGCACTGAGCTAGGTTCACTTTTGGATGAGAAATTCCGAAATGCTTATGATTTGACCTATAATACGTAAGTATATTTCTTCAAATTGCTTGGTATTCTATTGTATTGTGTTTTGATTACATTCGATTTGTTTTCTTGTTATAATTAGCTGCCGTACAGAAGGACGAGTTTTAGTATTTGTTTGGTTCGTAAAACAATCTAACTCTTTTGACTTCTTGTGTATCATCTTTAGTTGTTTTCCAAAGGGATGACTTCATTTTTTAGAACTAATCACATGATTCGATCTGTAACAATATGAATACCCAAACTGTATTTATTGTGTTGTAAATAAGACATCTAGAAAATGTTAAGTATTCAAATATTTCTGACAGTGACTGTATCACATTTAGGCGTAATGACTTCCATTCACCCAATGTAACTGACATTTTAAAAATTGGTTTGTATCTCTGTCACTACTTGAGGGGGAGGGCTTCAAGGTTTGTTGTGAATGCTTGTTGTCTACAGAATACTTACTAACTGAAGTTTTTTACTTTGATGTAGTAGGCCACAGGTTTCAACTACTTCGGTTTTTGTTGCACGGTGGTTATATCAGCCTTGTACATTGAAAGGTATCTATAGAAACCTGAAATTAATAAGTTAGAGTGTTTCTCTGAATGGAAGTGCAAACTGTTTATCACTAGATAATACACATTGGAACATATTTAATTATCAGAATGGGGATCTTTGGAGATTATAGTAATTTTAACAGTTGAATTCATGAGTCGATCTAAGCTAGACCACCATTGTGGGTGTGGCCCCCTAAGAAAACCACCTGCTTCTGTCTGGGCATCCGGGCAGTATCACAGCCCTCACAAAAATAAAATGATTTATGTGGCGCATATCTATTTGGTGCCTCCTTGTACCAATGTTTATGTCTTTAAATAAATAAATAAGACCACCATTGAAAACCTGGAAGCACTGGATGACCGTTCCGTCCGTATGAGACTCCTCATCATCGCGCGCCCACGATTTCGCACGAGGGACTAGAACCCCGGACCTTCAGTCTCTCGCGTGAACGCTTAACCTCTAGACCACTAAGTCGTCATCCAGTGGTATTAATATCTAACTTCACTCGATCCATGATCTTGCGCAACCCTTCATCCATTATCTCTAGTAGATAATTGTCCTGCACATGACACGGATTGGAATCCGCTGATCAATAACACCGTCGGATGAAGACTTAGTGGTCTAGACGTTAAGCGTTAACGCGAGAGACTGAAGGTCCTGGGTTCGAGTCCCTCGTGCGAAATCGTGGGCGCGCGATGATGAGGAGTCTCATACGGACGAAACGGCCATCCAGTGCTTCCAGATTTTAAATGGTGGTCTAGCTCAGATGGATTCATGAATTCAATTGTTAAAATATATTTAACTGATAATTTAGCAAAGCCAAATTGTTGATACAAGCCTCCGAATAAACTAACGTTGAAGGACAACTCACCTGGCTGTTGAAATGCTTTTCCTCTTTAGTAAATATGTGTTTGTACTGACGCTTTCTGGTTTGCATAATTGCTGTTCAAACAACCACAAATCGATAAATTAACAAAGTTAAATTCTCTCTCTTACACTGGTATATTACTTTATTAAGTTATTCGATTGATATCATTTTAAAATAGGAATCTTAATAAATAAACTGGCTTTGTTAAAGTTCAATCGGTTTTTATTTGGTTGATTTAATAATTAATTAATGGTAAGCACCAATTGTCCACCCATATGTTTGTTGAGAAAGAAATTTGTGTTTCGGAGTGTGAGTAAATGTAATTTTGGCTTATTTTGTTTTTAAATATTCTAGGTTCATTTGGTGAATTAAAAAAAAAACTATGTCCACTCTTGATTTGATCAGTGATTCATTCATTTCAAGCAATTAATTTTTATTCATCTGTTCATAAGTGTGAACTGTACCACCACTTTGGGAGATTTGTTAGTATTTCCTGTTAGGCTTTATAGAAAATAAGCGTTAATCAGTAGAATACATAAATTTGGTTATCATCAAGTATGATAGGTTATAGTACCCTTGTCCTCATATAAGCTTAAATACGCTCAGATTGGTTAAGCCTTTAACACTGCCATTTCATTCCGTAGTTATTCGTTTATATTTTTGTTTACAACTTGGTAAAAGTGTACTGTACTGACAACTTTGAGCTGCCTATTAACTAACCAAAAAACAAGTTTTACCTATAAAAAATTTAACAAAAAGCACTAAATTTATGGTGAGTGAGTATTCTTGGTATGATTAATGGACCCTTGATTGTTGCGTTATTTATTATAGTAAACAGAGAAAGGTTAAGTTCAATTACTAACATTTGATCTAAAGTTGTAAATAAAGGCTAAGGTTTTCATCACGAACTGAAATCAGCTATAATGGGAAAAGCTAGGGTAAGGTATTCGGATGTTGGTTAGGGTTATAAACCAAGATTAGGGTTATAATTTTCATCACCAACTATAATGCAATAATGCTTTCCCACCCTTTTGCTTATGAACTTACAAAAGCTAGAGTTGATATTACGAACTAGGAGTTAGAATGGTTACACAATTTTTTTTTATGAATTGAATCACATTAAGTACTCCCATTATTATTATTATTATTATTATTATTATTATTATTATTGATGGTTAGTCAGTCTGTATCAGGTAAGTATTTCTCGTAATTTGTTTTAAGTACCATGTCATATTCACTGTGTGAATGCATTTGAGATGCTTTTATCAAATAAAAACCAACATATTGACCATTTTTACTTATTTCAAATAAGATACATCTTATCCTTCATTGCACATTGAGTTCCAGAGAAACGATCTCTTCTGATTGGTTCACTCAAGGCCATCAGTTTAGTATGCTTTTACCATTCATTTCTTTCACTGTGCTTGTTGTTAATATAATTTGAGCTGTTCGTTGGAATAATGTGTTCTTTCTTCTTAGTTTCGCCTTTTGTAAATTGTACACTTGAAAAATCATAACTTGTTCGGCCTGTTGGAATACAAAGTACAATAATTATCGCAAACATATTCGCAACCAAATGATTATTGGAGAGAACATTAACAATATAATTATATTCCTAAAAGGAATACATAAAAAGTTACATTTGTTGTTGAAACAAAGTTGAGGATTGAGAGTGTACTAATTTTCCCGATATTGACTCTTAACAAGTTAACATGCTGTACTATCCGAAAGCCTATTAAAACATATAGCTACTGGAAATATATGGAGGGATTTACTTAAGCATCCTATATATCTACCGGGATCGATCGATTTCTGTTTAGGGTGTCAACCAGTGAGTTTGACCTCGAGCTTAGGGCTAGGTAAATCTTAGTTTCTTTTGGTTAAATTTGTATGTCCTCCTAGCCCATTCTTTGGTTCGATAATACAGCACAGCAAACAGTAGTGCAGTAGTATTATATCTATCTCAAACAGTCTATATACATGGATTATCAGATCGTAAAGCATCCTAAATACAATCATGTTGTAAGTAGCATCGAACTCACCAAATGGTACGTAATTAAGGAATAGTAAATCGTTTGGAATTAGTTAGAAGGTCCGAATGGAGCTCACAATATAGGGAATATAGTAATACAGTAATCCAATTGTCTAATAATTACATAGTAAAAGTATAACTAATAAAAATCCATAAAATAGTCCCATAAGTTCCAGCGTCTTCAATGCTTACCCCGTTGTAATAGGCTAAAGAAAACCGTTTTCGAATAATGTTTATTTTACACTTAGAAGAAATTGGTGGTGGTTATCTGTGCTCAGTATTTTAGTGAATAACGCGTTGGCGTTAAAACGATGTACAGGTCGTTTGAGTTCATTTTCTCAACTGGGTGTAGGTTAAAATGAGGGGAAACACATTTAATACTGTGGTCGTCTAGTACCTATTTAATCCAACTGTATCTATTGCAAGGGAGAAATATTTCCGATAATCCTTCCTAAATTTATTGTCCATAGTATCACCATAAAGTCGTTGTCGGAAATTATGCAAGTACGTTGTCGATCGATTGTTTTTTCATAACTGTCTTATGATAATCAAAACTTGTAACTTAGGTTCTGTTGCATTTTAAAACTGCCTTATTTTCCTCAATTTCGTCAATAATCTCGTAATTATAATTATTTTCTCTTATTTCCTTCTTAAGTCTAAACGGGATTCAAAATGTCGATACGTCTCTTTATCGTCGTACAGTTTGGAATGAAGTGCAAAGTTTTTTCGGTATATGTCATGATGACTTTCGTTATGACCGTGTAAATCGTTTGTTAACTACTTCACAACGTGCCTATTTAAAATTGTGTTCCACTTTCCCAGTTGCAGTTTATACAATACAAAATCTCAAATTTGAAAATATTTTCCCTGCCCTATCATCTTCAGAAATGGTAAGTAGCGATTTTCCACTATTCCATTCGTCTGCCCGTTAGTCTTCAAAATGCTGTTGAATATATGAATTTACTATTGGATACCATTCGGATAGCTTCCTTCAATATATTGCACAAATAGATTAAAGATGTTTGTTAGAATGACGAGTTTTATAACTGTAAAGTGTAGATTGTTTTTAGATATTAGCTTTTGTTACTTGTAATTTGCACCATGGACTGACTTTAGTTAGAAAATCGTTAAAAGCTAGAGAGCACTATATAGTCTTTTCATCCAATTATGCAAGTCCTCGATTGTGCACATCCACAACCCTACCGGATATCGAACTTAGGAACTTCAGGCTCTTTGGAAAGCACTCAACCTTCAAATAATTAAATCAGGATCCAGTTCAAATTTCAAACAAATCTTGACTTCCAACCATTGAATTCAGATATTTGAATCTCGTGCTTTAGCCTAACCTACTTCAGTTTAGACATACGTACAGGGTTAGTTGTTCTTGGATTATTTTTTATCATTTTTTCTTCTAGCCCCTGTGTTTTATTATTTATTCTTTAAAATCTTTTGGTCTTAGATTCATGTGATCCTTATGATTATTGAGGCTAGACAACAAGCTTGTTTATCGTATATCCTTCGAGCGGTTTCTCAATGTCAAGTCAGAAATAATTGAATATATATGTATACATAATGTATTTCTCCATTAATATTTTCGAACAGGTTTGTCGATTTCATAGTTTTACATATACAGAACGTTTATTTTTTAAAAGATTTTTTAAACTGATAATTAGATTATCAGGACAAAGGAACCAGTCTTACCGTCAGATGAATAAACATGTTTTAACGTGACAAAATAAATGTAGTGATAAATCGAAATGGTGGGGGTGAGGAGGAAGTTTACAACAAAAACGTGAATAAATGGAAAGAATATGTGGTTATGATATGATACAGTATATTGCTTGACGAGGATGTCTACTATCCCCATTCCTGTCTTACTTCGTGTGTATTCTTCTACTAGTTTCTATTTTTCCTATTTTTCCAAAGGTTTAATGTGATGGGTGCACATATTTGAATCAACTTTATTGATGCTGTCAATTAAGTTCATTTGATTGATCTCATTGAAAAGAAGTAAATTTCTATGATCACTTAACAAATCTGTTTTTTACCTATGAGATTTTAAATGTTTCTATCATCGACTGGTTTTTTTGCCTATGTCTAGTCACTCAATCAAATAATTACTAGTTAAGCATATAGGTTGCATCACTTATTTGCCACATTTTTATTTAGTTCCAGTTGTCTACACTTACAGATGGACGTTTAGTATTTACTCAGAAGGCTGATTTGCTCTTCATTGCCAACCTGCGTCACATGCAGACTTATTAGTGTTGAAATATCTGTATTAATTCTCATCTATTGAACTGTACGTTACTTAATTTCATATCCATAAGATATGGTTTTTGACGGGTAATAGCTTAAGAAGACTATAGATATTTCATTATAGATAAGTTTAAAGTGTTACCTGCTTTTGATTGAACCATCAAGTAATATTTATTGATATTAATTAGAAGTTTTGTGTGCGATTTGGTAGGGTTTCAAAAGTATTGGCATTCGATTAAAATATTCCAGATATATGTTATGCATATATGTTCACTGTTTATTCATGTATACGATGGTATTTGGATAAAAGACGTTGTTATTATTACTAAAATATAGTGTCACTAGTTTGCTAGAGTTATTCTGAGCTTAATTGGTGCGATTCCATTTATAGTATCAAACACCAATCACATATTCGCCAACTTTTCTATTGAGCTTACTATTATTTTATGTATTTCGTTGTTAGTGTTACGATTATTAAGTATTTTTGTCAATGTTGTGGTAACCGATTTTTTTTAGGCAGTTGCTTCATATCTGCGAGTTTATGCAAAAATATTTTGTTTCCTGCCTACAACTCTGAACTATGGATATCGTGTTGATTGTTCACCTGACATACATGGATTAGAAAAACAAAGTATTCAACGTGTTTCACTCCCCATTCTTATTCCACTGATGCATTTGCACTCAGAATACTTCCATTCGTTTAAGTGAAGTAATTCCTTCCGTTTTTGATAATTCACTACATGACAGTTTGTTAACGCCATCATTATTTGTTATTTATCTTTCTATTCGGATGTTCTCTATTTTTTCAGTTCTCAATTAATTCACCGTTGTCCCTTTTTCTTCAAGCTTAAATTAAGATATCGGTAGCGTTTTCAGCGTCAAGTATATATTATTATATATCATTCTTGTGGTTTGGCCTTTTATAACTTTTTACTGTGATTATTTTAAACAGGACTCTGTGTTTGTGTCTCCTCATGTATGCTAGTTCAATTATTAAAAAAAGGAAGATAACAGTTAACATGCATACTTGGTTGCATTGACCATGTGTTTTTGCAAAATTATCCTTCACGTAACTTTGTCAGTTAGGCTCGTAAAATTGTATGCTTATGTCCATGTTGAATAGGGAGGGGAACTTACTGTTCATAAAGTTTTAGAGTATCTCTCTGTGTTGGTTACTGTTCAGTACTGATTGCTTTTTTGTCGACTTTTGGTCACTATCCTCTCTCATCGTGATTTTATGTTTACATTCAAATAATGTTCTCTTCGTGTGTGGAGAAAGCAACTTCACAGTTTACCAACCTTCGATTTTTCAAACAATAATTTTTTCCCTACTACTCCCCCAGTTTATGGTGCATTAATTTAAGAAAAGTTTATTGCTTTTATTCTCCAAAATTATGTTTAATATACTTATATATATTTACATATTTGTTGTTTAGTTATGACTAAATCGCCTGTCCTGAAACTTCTTGACGTCATTGTTTTCTTATTTCTCTCTGTATTTTCCCATAATCATATTTATACATACATGTAATTTTATTGGTCGAGTGTAGAATTATTTTTATTGGAAACAGTTTTTCGTGGTTCCTTTTCTCTCTGTATTCAAAAACCCGGCTTGTATAAATATATATGCGAGCTTTGTTCTGTGACTTGTTTTTCCCCAAATATTTTCTCTCCCACTCTCTATTTTCCTCCCTGTAGTTCTTATCATCTGTCTGTTAATGTTAGTAATTTACCATAAAGAAAAATGAAAGATGCCATAAAGAAGGCCCCAGCAAATAACAATTAACGGTCACTGGAAACGTCTTGTTTTATTTTTTAAGTACTTTTGTTTAAAATCTGATTTGTTGATGCATTTCGTTCGAGCACAAGTTACAAGAACCATTGTGTCCATAAATATTAGATTTTTGTGATTTAATTTGAGCGTTTTCACACATAAACTGGTATTTTCTACGTGAAAAGCCACATAATCTATATGCGATTGTAAAATCTTAATATGATAGCATGTAACTTTAGAGCCACCAGCAGTCGATAAGGAATTTTCAAAGTGACATAGTAATATGTACAGTAGCAACAAAAGGTACAGCTTCCTGACCATGGGTTTAATAAAAAAAGATTTTTTAACATTTTTTTAGAGATAACGATCATTGAATAACGGATTGTAAACAAGAATCAAAGATAAATAGACGTATATCATATTTCACACTTATTTCCAAAAATCTATTCTACAATGATTAATAACCGAATTTTTGGAGGAGTGATTACCCTGTTATCACTTTATAAATTCAGTCTATTAGGCAACCATCTCTGTGTATTGTCAAATGCTCTGCCATAGTCGCGTAGGTGATGTTATTTGAGTGTGTTAAGTAACAGGTGGTCAGCATCTTTCATTACAAAGTCTGCTTCATACTAGCTGTTTTACTTACCAGTCCAATTCAGTATGAGGTTGCAGAATGTGTCAAAAAATCACCATTTATTCTGATGTAGCAAACAGCTTGAGTCGCGGAGTGCATTGATTATAAATATTCGGATTGATTATAAATATCTGTATATAGTTACATATATTTTCTGGTCTTATTTCAGGTTATTTGTTTGTTGGTACTTTTAAATAGTCTAGTAAATTTGCGGGAAATTACTTTCATTAGTATTTTATTTGCCAGTACCGCAAAGGTGGCAGCAGAATTCATAAGTGATGAGGTGAACTTTGAATTTTATAACTAAAGAGAATAATTAGAAATTAGTGAAAAAAGTATGATAGTAAAATAATCTCATTAATGTTAGCTGACTGTAAAAAATCAAGAGCAAGCCTCAAAAGAGGTACACAATAATAAAGGGGAAGGAATTGAAGTAACAAGCAGTTCGTTTTAAAATAATTTATTTGGGTATTGAGTATAGTTGCACATGACAGAAAATTCGATCTTATTACATTAAATTAAGATCAATTAGTTATAGTGAAAGTATGATTATAGAATAAATTGGTTGCACATTCAGAAATGAGAAAATAATTGATGAGAAGAGGATTTGGAGTTGTACACAATATCGTATAGCGAAGTCTAGTTGACACTCATGCAAAGTATGAAGTTATAGTGAAACAGCCGATGAAGAAAAATCATGTTCCGAATAGGATCAAGGCAGAGAAAATAGTCAGGAGAATAAAAAAACGATCAACTTCATCAACAAATCAGATACGTCAAATTGTACCTATGGTGAGTGGCTATTTATTGTATGGAGTGTCAGCTGAACTTTCAGCTGTGGTTCAAACGAGACAGATACTTTGGTGGATCTGACATGATAAATGTAAACTCACTGGATGCAATGGATGTGAAGCGATTAAGGGGAGTGAAATTCTTCCTATTAGACTGGGTGCAAAACAATTCTGGGCAGTGTGCTCATTGGTACGTCAATGAAACATTCAAGACATGATGCCTTTAATAAAAATGATATATTTGTAATATCCCGATGAGTAAAAAAATTCAATTTCGTGACTCAGTGTAAACCACTTCTTCAGAGAATAAATAAAATCAAAGCAACCTAAGTTTACATAGTACAGAGGAACAAAGCAAGAATATTTAATGAGATCAATCAAAAACGGGTCTGACCAAGTTAGTGTCATGTCATTGCGGTCAACGTGATTTGTATGCCCTCACTTTGTCTGAGGTGTTTGTATATAGGGCTTTCAAGATGTTAGTAAACTTTTCAGGGACTCCCTTCTTCAACAGGCAAACCCAGAGAACAGTCCTGTCCAAAGAATCGGAGGCGGCCCTAATGTCGAGAAACACTACGATTGTTGACCTATGATAAGTATGACGGTGTTCTAAGATTTGGCGAAGGGTGAAGATACGATTAATACATCCTCGATCAGGACGAAAACCAGTCTCTTCCTCACGAGTCAATCTTCCTGAACAATCTATGAAGTATGACGGAAGCCAGTATTTTGGATGCGATAGGAATTAGGCTTATCCACCGATAGTTGTAGTAGAAACGACGTGAACCGTTTTTAAAAACAGGAACAACTATTTGCTTATTCCACGATGTTAGAACACTAATTTCCAGGCCTTCGTGAACAACTCAGTCGGTTTAATAATCAGAAAGTTGCCACCATTTTTAAAAAGGGCTGGAGTTAGGTCATCTAGACTTAGTGATTTGTGGCGCTTCAACAGTTGGAGTATCTTGAGGACCTCAACCTCGTTAGGGTTGATCAGTCGTTACGAGCCGTAGAGAGTATGACAGTCTAATCGGTGTCGTTGCGGCAGTTGAACTGCTCCTCGGAAAACTATGCCCATCGTCCAAGACGTCGAAAGATGTTAGTGATTGACATCCCATGATCTTCACAGATCGTTTCACTCGCACCAGACGTCTTGTTGCCAGTGACTCGGATGAGTTGAAAGAGCTTCCAGCAGTTACCAGATGCAACTGCTGCTTCCAACTCACTGGCATGCTCCGACCACCAGGCTTCTTGTTCTTTTCACAAACTGCACAATTTCATTGCACAAAAGTCTCCGTTTATAGTCAAACTCGTGGTCACCCGGAGTAGACCGATGGGCTTCAATGAGTTGTAAGGAGCCTGAAGAAATTCAGTGCTTATAAGCGGAACGTTTCGAGAAGCCGTAAGCGACTTTACCAGCCATTTTCATGGCGTCATGCTATTTTAACTAATGTTGTTCTGTACTTTTCAGTGGGATGATAGCTAGCCTTGAACCTAGCTCGGTTTGATATTTAGTTGCAACAGGAAAAGGTGAGTTTAGTGCAAACAATAGTGGGCTTGATCAGAGTCCAGATAGGTTCTCCAAAACAAGCGAGTCTTGTACACAACTACGCCAGCGGTAGCTGGTCGCGATGTGATCAACCCGAGTCCAGGTTTGAGATGCCACCTAGCACATTGGCGATGACTAAACCGGTAGTTAGTGTTAGGCAGAAAAAAGTTATAGTCTGCACACGGATGTAGCAGACGGTCACCATTATCTGACCTGCGACCAACAAGTCCCCATTGGCCACCTAAACGACTCTATTCCGTGCCTATACGCCCGACGTGAGCATTCAAGTCTATGGCTAGTACCACAATATCTGTCGAACACACTTTCTGGAGAAGAACAGTTAATCAGTGGCAAAACCCATCCTTGATCGCATCCGGGCTGCAACCTGTTGGAGCGTAAGTAGAAACGACAAAAAGACATCGTTTCCCACACCGATTTCTTGACATATTGATGAGGGTTCCTAATCTAACAGCACATAACCGACTGTTAATGGGGGTCCAATCGATACGCTCTGCCTCAGCTTTAGCGCTTAGTGCGATACGAACTCCGGTAAAACCAGACAAAGATGCCACAGAGTCCTCGGATAAACGCACGTGAAACAAGCTTTTTGAAGCGACAGATACAAAGCGAATTTGTAGTACTTCGCTAGTCTTAAATACGGGTCTCGGATATAAAACAGACATTGATATTGAGAATTTTAAAAGACAGCTAACCCTATCTGTTGTCTGATCTGCATTAGTGTGCGAAGTTATGTTGTAGCGTCTTTAATATACTGTTCAGATATTTTGATAATGCACATGTTGATGTGTTTGTGAAGTCCATTATAGGTCTTAGAAGGAATGTTTGGTTTATGAATTTTATGTAAACCATAAAATTTGAAGTATTGCATGATTTGGGTATAGAGCAAACATTAACGAGATACCAATGACTGGTTTCAGTTCCTTTAAAAGCTGACTTGTCTCTGATTTGACTTTATTTTTAATTGTTAGAAAATATTTCGGGTCGACCTTTTCATATGGACCTGTAGAGAGATGTTCAAAAGCTTTATTATTATAATCTTTTTTATTCATATCTACTGTTGCGTTGCTTTTGTCAGCTTTTGTGATTATAATCGTTTTGTCTTTTTAACGAGAGTGTAGAGCCTTTAATACTTCCTTTGAAATGTTAGGAGTAAGGTGTTTCTGTTTAGTAAAACTATGGGATGTTTTTTCGCAAAAAAATGAGACTATTTTTCGGGTAATTATGAGACTATTAGTTCTATAATTAAAGCAATTTTAAGGGCACAAAGTGGTTTTCTATGTAAATTAAAATTTAATTCTTTCCCCAGTATAGAAATTTCATGGCTGCCTAAATTTTTGCCTGAGAGATCATGTACAATTCGCAGACCGTAAGATTTAATTTGTATTATTGATGTTTTCTTTCTTTCCTTTCCTCGACCTTTTTATATCTTTTGATTTGTCGGCATTTCGATGAATTTAAATAATGGAGTTTTTTTCTAGAAAGAAGTTAGAAATAGTGGCTTGTAGTTCTGTAGGAGTTAGAAGTTTTGTTAGATCATCTTAGTCTTTCATACGTTCACGATATTTTTCAAGTAATTATGTGCATTTGTGAATGCGTTGTCGTGGAAATATACGAAATGTACTTTGCAAAATCTAGAGAGGTCACCAGGAAAGTTTTGATGGTCCTACAAAAAGAAATATGAGAATAATGCCTTGTAAGCTGCGTTTATTAAATATTCTGTGATAGTACTAATTGCATTTACACTTAGATAACTTGATCCGATTATTAATGGGTTTTTAGGTGTCGTCATCAAGGTTTGACTTGATAATTACAGATAAATTGAGCATTGGGTAGATTGTTATTAATAAAAATAATATATTTATAGTATCTTAATTAGTAGAAAAATTGCCTTTGTTTGCTCATATCAACATAGTTCGTACTGTGAAGTTAAACATGACTATCCATTTCTTTGCATTCTAGTGAACGAAAAAATCAACAATTCACATGTGCATACTGCTCAACTTTAAATCCATCAACTGTCATGACTGAATGTGAACAGCGATTTTAATTATCATTTCGACAAACTTATCCAAATGCACTGCAACAAGGTTGCTTGTTTTATCTGAGCCAATGTATATGGCGGAGATTACAGCCATAAGCTA